CACGCTCCACTGCGAGTGCGTTCTCCTCCTGGGAAGGGATCTTATTCCTGTACGAGGATAGACCGGTGTGCCTTCCCTGGAAACAAATGCAAGTCCAAAGCCTGTGCACAATTGGAGCCTTAGACGGGTGTGTCCAGGATGAAGCTAATTAGGAGGGCAAGAGCCGCCGCAGCAGGTGTGATGATGTTATAGTTAAACTTGGCTTGCTTCTGAATAACCTGAGAACCACTTTTGCCTGGCCACCCTCTCCCCCTTCCTCTGTAAGGCTAACAAGGACGCCACGTGTAAGATTACACCTTCAGCCGGGCATGGCTCTGCAGAAAGCCACAGCACTGGTAGCGTTTGACCACTGCAGCCTCTGCCCTGGCCTCGCCAGCAGCTCTGCTGCCTGGGGACGATGGGAGCCGTATCCCGAAACCACTGAAGGCGCCAAGCTGCGGAAGGCTGCCCTGGGCTTGCTGTCCTGCTGCTGCTTTGCAGAAGCGCGAGTCACTGCCGGGTGTCCCCAGGGCACCAAGCCCTCCACACGACCGGCTGCTCCGTGGGGCCTGCCCGGGCTCCGCGGGCCCCGCTTCTCCGAGTGCGGCGCGGCTCCCGCGCTCGGTCCTCCACGCGGGGCAGCGGCTGCCGGGCTGGGGGGCGCCGCGCTGCGGGCCGGCCTGGCCGGCGGGGCGCCTTTGTGTGGCCGCGCGGCGCTGCGCGGCCGAGGAGCGCTGGGCGCGCGCTAGGCCGAGCCAGGGGCGGGGGCGCGTTGCCGGGCAACCGGCCGGGAGAAGCCGCCCCTGCCGGCCTCTTTTGTTCGGGCCGCGCTCGGCGGTGGCGGAGCCCGCGCGGCCTCGGGGAAGAAAGGCGCGGCCCGAGCGGCCGGCGGCCACAATGGGCGCCGCGAGCGCTGCCACTAACGCTTAGCGCTCGGCGGCCTGAGCGGAGCTGGCGCGGCCCACCCGGCCCGCCTTCCCGGCCGCGGTTTCCATGGACACGGCAGCCGGCCGAGGACACGTCTCCGGCTCGGCGGGAGGCCGCCCCGCGTCGGCAGGGCCCCGCCGCCGGGACGTGCTCGAGGCGGCTGGCGGGGCGGCCGTTCCCACGCCGCTCCCGTCCCGGGGCTCCGCTCCGCACGGCGCCGTCCCCTGGGGGGCCTCCGGTCCCTGCCGCTCGCGGGCCTGGGGCTCCCGGGCGAGGCCGGCGGCAGGCAAGTCTCTGCGGGCCGGATCCCGGCCTTTCCGTGTGAAGCGCCGCCTCGTGCTTCTGTGAAGTCCTGCAAAATGGTGCCCCCCAGCAGCGGGACGGCGGCATTTCTGGCGCTGTGGCTCCAGCAGGGCCCTTTCAGCTTGTAGGTGCCGGTTTTCCTTCTGCTCGCTTTTAGGAATTGCTGCATTTCGCTTTTGCAACCCAGGCGTGCTGCAAGCAGACTCCCGTGTCATCTTGGGTGCCCTTTGAGTGCATCCACCTGCATCTTGTTCTCTGAACAGTAAAGTTCTTCTGTGAATCTCCAGGAAAGCAAGGCAGCAGGAGCACAAGGGAAGCTGCCCTGTATTTATTCTTTAAATCTAGCTTTCCGGGGGTGGGAGGCAGGGGACTGTGTCCTTCAGGTTGGAATTTTGTCCCAACCCGAGACATGCCAGAGAAAAGGACCCCAGGTGAGAGAAGCTTGCAGAACTTGAAACAAGGCAGCAATGGGACAATGCAACTGTGGCAGGCGGACATTAAGAATTAAGACTGCATTTAGTGTTTTATCAGTTTTCACTCATATCAAAGCACAGTAGGCTAACCATTGGTCGAAAGGGGAGTGCACACAAGCCATTGCATTCCACCCAAATGTGGTCATTTCCGATGGTCACCTTTTGGCTGTGTTAGAGGTCATGCCACTATCCACATGGAGTTGTCCAAAGACAGTTGTTCTGGTAGGGTGTTTGCAACCAGACCCTGCGTGATGTGTCCCCTGGTTGTTGTCGGCTTTCTGGTCGGTTGAGAATGACCGTGGAAAAGGAGTAGGATCTGTAGGGTAGAAAAATAGGTCAAGCAGAGGACCAATGCAAACAATAAGACGGGGAATTGTTTGTAAGCTTCAGTATCCTTAACTTTTATTTTTCATTTCTGGAATATTTGTCTGTCTGTGTAATCCTTAGAATACTCTTGTAAGTTTTGACACATTGCAGATGACTCTGAGCGATGACTAAAGGGCACAACCCTAGACGGAAAAAGGGGCTACAGCCCCCACCGTGCCTCAGCCAGCAGCTGTTTGGGGCATGCTGGGAGTTCTACCCCTTGATCTGCCTACATTTGCATAGGGTAGGCCTTCCAGCCATTCGTGGCCAGCACAGCCAGTGGCCTTTTCCGACCTGATGCCATGGAGAAATGTTGGATTACAACACCGATCATTCCCACCAGCTGAGAGTGATGGAAACTGCAGTCCCAACACAGGCTGCCTGGGAGTGATGGGCATTGCAATCCAACACATCTGGAACTTGGAAAAAACTTTCCAAAGGCCTCCTGGATGATGTGTGATCAGAGTGGGGTTCAGCCCAGGGGCTTCCCAGTGTATGCCGCTACCCCACCATACTCACGCCATGGCACCATTTTGGCGACTGTGGAACAGAGACGGCTGGTCCAGCCATGTGCCACTGCAGCTGAGGAGGAAAGGGTTGGGTCACTTCCCTGGGGCTGGGGCAGGGTGGCTTTGTCCACATTCTGGCAACTGGAACTAGCAGCTTGAGCCACCCACGTCATGCCTGACACGGTTGGGTTTACAGGGCTGGAACACCAAGTGCCCAGTGCTTGGAAACGTCTCTGTCTCCCTGCCAGACGCTTTCACCCGAAATGCCTGCTGGTGAACGGGATAATCTCCTTGGCTTCCTTGCCCGGGCACACGTCACTCCCAGAGCCCTGCAACCTTCACTTTGCCAGTCGGCACCAGCTCTGAGCCGAGGACAGAGAGCCCATTGTGAGCTCCCCTTCCTCCCCCCGCCCCGTCTGTTGTCCTGCTGTCGTTGCGGAAGGCCACTTTCTGTGTTACACGAGAGAGGGATGCGGCGTTCCCTTGCTTAGCCTCCTTCCATGTGGGAGCGGCTTGTCCTCTGGCCTGTGGCCACGTCAGAGTCCAGGACACCATTTGCAGAAATGGGGTCAAAGGTACCCACCACATACTTGCCACGCTTTGCTGCCAGAGCTCTCCTGCCCCCGAGCGCACACTCTTTTCTGCTAGACCGCATCGCCAGGTCCTAAGTGCACCCTGCCCCAGCATCCCCTCCAAACCCACTCCCCGTGTTGAGCACTCTGAATATTGGGTTCCAAGAAATGGTTTACTACTTTATAATGATTAATTAATAATCATTCCCACTAACAGCATGGTTGGGTGGCTGCTCCCCCGTTGACTGGAAAACAGAGTAGGGTCACCCAAGTGGATTCTGCATTACTGGGGACTCCCTCAGTATGCAGGATAGTATAGGTTTGTAATTTAAAATTAACTTGGAATGATTAAAAAGGAATAAAAAGTGCCCAGCAAGGACCTGCGAAATGCTGAGGCATCCATTAAAGGGAGTGGGAAGAAGAAATGGAAGAGAGAAGGAACCTGGCTTGTTATGGTCGTCATCTGTGATGGGGAAGCATCTGGGTTGGACAGGTACAATATATAGAAACGTTCCACAGCAAGGGAAAAGCGGAGGGGGGACTGAGTGTGTGGAAATGAAGTGCTTGCCTTTGGCTTCTGATGGCAGATGTGAGCTGTTCAGCCCCACGGAGGCGAAGCAGCTGCTTTCCCCCAACCCCTGGTGCCTCTGTCCTACCCAGCATTGCCTGCAGGCATGGCAGCAGCCACTCCGTGGGCCTCTTGCATCACCTTCCAGGCAGGCTCTGGAGGCAGGAAAAGGCAGCAGAGGGCCCTGCCCCTTCTGCCCACTGCAGCCTGTGGACCCGCACGCCCCACCTTGGACCCGCAGATGCCCTGCAGTAGTTTGAGGCAGGCCTCTGGCCCTGGGCAAGAAGTGGATGAGTAAATAATAGGCTTGAAGGTGGGAGTGGGAAATGCATCCCCTCCAGTTGGTGGTGTGCTATGACACACCCGTCGCCACCTTAGGTAGAGACTTTGGAGCATGTGATTTCTGCAGTCCAGGCAGATGTCCCAGGTGGATGCCATCCAGGTAATTGCACCTTGGCCATTGGCAATCCGGGCTGAGGCTGATGGGTGCTGGGAACCCAACCACAGCTGGAGGCGTCCGGGTGGGGGAGAGCGATCTGGGTTGGAACACTGTCCTGATGGGAAGGCTGTACAGGCGGGCTTTGCACGTGCAGGCCCCGTCCGGCACCTTGGCTGGAGTGGATCTCCGTGGCTGGGAATGGCGAGGTGCTGCTCCCACCTTGCAGCAGGCGTGCCCTGGCTTCCTGCATCGGCCAGGGCAGTTCCATAAGTTGGTCACTGGGCATGCTCCGTTTTTGGTGTGTCTCTTTTGGTGCAGGGATGAGCCGAAGCCCCCAAGTAGTTGCTTGAGCTCAGAACAGGGTAGTCTCTTGAATTGCAACCCTGTGCAAGTTTCAACAGGAAGAGGCCTGCAGCTCCTTGCTGTGCTAGCAGGAGCTGCTGGGAATCACTTTCCCACAGTGGCCCTTTTTGTGGAGTGACATTTAATGGAGGGCTTGGTCCAGTGTGAGGCCAGGACTCGGACGATGTGAACAACCAGTAGTGACCAGCCTGTGGGTGCAGGGAGGGCAGCTGGATGACCCAGACTCTGCATCCTTGGCAGGGGCGTTCTGGGACCGTCTCAGGAACGCAGTGGAAATCTGAGCAGCGCTGCTCTCTAGACTAAAACACAGAACATGTCAAGAAGTAGCTTGCTGCTTGGCTGCCCCTTCACAGTGTCCCAGATGCGTTGCCCGATGCAGCCATCTTGCAGTGCCTGAGGAGAGCTGCAGAAGCTCTCGGAAGGTTTGGGTCCTCCTGATGATGTTTTCTTCTGTCCCCAAACTCAAGTTTGCCTACCCAGCCAGATCTTTGCCTCCTGCAGGTGGATGACGCCATGCTTATGTTTGACAAGACAACGAACCGGCACCGAGGTGAGGCTTGGGTTCTGGGGCGGAAGGCTGCGGAGGGGTGGGGTGTCCTGCGGATTCAACCTCACTGTCCTTCTGTGGCATACGAGGTTCCAGCTCTCCCTGCATGCCTCAGCCGCCTCCTGTCGTCAGCCATGCCTGTTTCCCTCACTCTTCCATCACACAGAGGGCTTTTGTCTGCCTGCTTCCGATGCTGCCACAATGCAGAGGTGTCCTTTTCCCTCGCCTTCCCTTGTCACCTGCGTGGCTCCAGCAGTCTGCGTATGCCTTACCTTGCTGTGGGTAATTTGAGCTGCAGAGGCAGACATGAGCAGGGGGCTGCCCCCTCCCCGCTGCAGCGCAGGGGCCAACTGCTGCTCCTGGATCACCTTTTCTCAGAGTCCCCTTTTGGGAGTTTGATTACAGTGTGGAATCCTCCTTGACCTCTGCAGACTGCTAATGGGGAGGGCAGCCCTCCTACACACGCATTGTGCCTGCTCTGTGCAAGGCAAGGCTGACAAAACTCTGGTTTGAGGACAGCTAAGATGGCCCCCAAATGCTTGGCTACTTTGGAACGTCAGGCTTGGGCTGCCTGTGCCATCATGCCAGACACCGCTTCTTGGTCCATGGGCCTCGACTGCCTCTGAGGGATATGGGGCAGGTGCCTGCTTTAAACACAGCCTTGCCTCAGCTCCCCTGCCTACGGCAGTTGCCACCTGGCACTTTAAAAACCACTTGCTGTGCAGGGGGCCCCCCGTGATATCAAGCTCGCCTCTTTCCTGTGAAAGCTCACCTGTTGATTTCTGCAGATCACGCTGCTGTGGAAGATGCCCGGAGCACCTGGGCATTGGCCCTGTGCCCTCTGAGAAAGCCCTGCGCATTTGGCAGGACAGCCTGCAGGGGTCAGATCGGTCCTGTGGCCACCGCTCTGGCACATCCATTCCACGGGATCCAGTGCAGGGGCCTGCGTAGGGGCCAGCAGCCCCTCTTAGTTCCTGCATGGAGGAGGGGGATCCGTGGTGCTGAGGCAGGCTCAGGTGGGGCAAGCCAGAATGTTCTTTCTCGATTTGGCTGCTTGTCTCAGATCCCTCAGGGAGACTTGGCAGCTGATCTTGCCGCTGGCAGTGTCCACGCCCGGCTTCTGCCAGTGAGCCACTCCCTCCGTGCCGCACCTCTTGCTCCTGCCGCCGCCTCTGTGGCCCCCGCCCCTTGGCCGCCCTTTCTTGGCTGGGAGGAGCAGGGCAGCCGTGCTTTGCCGGAGCAGCGGTGGGGCCTGCCGGCTGGGGCCTTCCCGCAGTGGACTGCCGGGTCCCTTGCATGCTGCCTGGGGAGAAGCTGCCAGGTGCAGCTGGGGTGGGGTCCTGCTGGGGGGCAGCCTCTCGCCTCCATCGTTCCTTCCAGTTGACAAAAGAGCCGTGGTGAGAAGCGGCCACTGCGCGCCTCTCTTCCAGCGGGCTTTAAAAACGGGGGGGGGGGGGGCAGAAGGAGAGAGCAGTTTGAAGATAGGTGACTGACCTGCTGTTCCCCCAAACATGCAGTCTTCCTTGCAAAAAAAAATCTAGCCTGTCAAGGAGCAGGATGGGCTAAAGCTATTTCTCTCTGGCTGAAAAGGGCGCCAGCTCTTTCCTCTGCAGTGTGTGTGCATAAACCATATACACATACACAGACCTGCAGCTGGAGGCTGAGTATCCTGTCCCGCTGTGTGTGTGTTTTTGTCTCTGTTTCTCTGTCCTGCCTACCTGCGGTTTGCTTCTAGCATAGTCTGCTCCTTGATGTGCTAGATGTTTATGTGCGAGAAACACCTTTTTGTTGGTCTCCTGTACATGGGGGAGGAGCCGTCCGTAATGCAGCACCCTGGGGTGGTGTTGTTTTTCATCCTCCAGACAGGACATGGCCGGGCTGCAGTTCATCTGGGCATGTGGCTCTGTTCTCGGGGGTTCCGTGCGGCTAGGCTGGGTCTGTTTCTTTTTCAGGGTTCGGTTTTGTCACATTTGAGAGTGAAGACATTGTGGAGAAAGTCTGCGAGATCCACTTCCATGAGATCAACAACAAAATGGTGAGCGCCGTGCAGGGGCAGGCCACACGTGGCGCTGGTGGGGAGTGCGGGGCGCAGAGCCACGGGCGCTGAGCAGAGGCAGTGAGGGGTGTCGGCACACCTGCCGCCCCGCCTGTCAGCGCTGCCCGTTGCTCCGGGCCTTCCGGGGTTGTCACAGGGCCCCACTGTGGCAGCTTTGCCCCCTGCAGAGGCGGTGAGCGTGCAGGGGTCCTGCTGCAGGTGCTTAGCAGCTTCTGGACGTGCTCCCTCTGCACATCTGTCAGCCCGCGGGGCTGGAGAGCGCGCCCTTGGCGTCCTCTGTCTCCTCTCCCTTTGGCAGGCAAAGCCACTTGCTGGGGTTGAAGCAAACCAGCCGTTTGTGTAGCCTTCAGGCGGAACGCCTGGTGGGGGCTGCAGGCTGACCCAGGCCCTCAAAGCCGCATGGAGCCTTGGGCACGGGGCCCCGAGCGCACAGGCCCGGGGCAGGCTTTGCCTCAAGCAGAGCAGCCAGCTGTTCCCCCCGAGGGCTCCTGGGCCTTCGCAAGGGGCCACGGGGCACGGGTGGCGCCTGCCCTTGTGCGGCACATGCTGTGGGGGCAGAGGCTCCGGCTGGTGCGTCTCCATCGGTCGCACCTCTTCGGCAATCACGGCGGGTGGGGGAGTCAGGAAATGATCTAAGGCTCCATCTTGCACAGGGAATGTTTTAAGGCAAAGGACTCCAGCCCGATTTAATCTGAATCACGCTGAGACACATCGGAGCGGTGCTGGGATAGCCGCCTTCCCCGCACCCGACCAGGTTGCTCCCGCACATGCAGTATTGCCACCTTCCTCGCCCACTTCCCTCCTGGCGTCTTGGACTGCAAATTGGGAGTTGCAGTCCAAGACGCCTGGAGCGAACCGGGCGAGGGGTGGGCGGCGGCATCGTCAGTGGTCTGCAGCCGTGTCAGCGCCGGAGGCTGTCTCCGTCCCGGAGGCTGCGTGCTCGTGGCAGCCCTCTGCCCAGGCATGAGCAGCAGGGGCATGACTCCGGGGCACTGGCCAGCTGCGTCAGGGAGGTGTTCGCAGAAGTGTGGTGATCCTGCCTGGTGCGAGTGTTTTCATGGCATGTGTCCGAGCCACCCTGAGTCTACTGCCCTGCGATGCGAAGGTGGCCCATTTCAGAGGCGATTGCCAGTTGCTGCCCCTGCCCCCCAAAGAAGAGGCGTTCCTTTCCATTTTGGTAGAAGCCGTGCAGGGAACACTCCAGCCAGCACTGCCTCGTGCGAATGAGCAGGCAGGGAGAAGCTCTTGGTCTTTCCTGCTTGGCCATCTCCAACTGTAAAGGCAGCTTGTTAGCACAGGTTGCCTGTCCCAGAGGTGAAAGGTATTATTATTATTATTATTATTATTATTATTATTATTATTATTATTATTACATTTCTATGCTAGGTAGAGAGAGGGGAGGCTCCTGCATGGATGTTCTTCCTTCCCTGTAGGAGAGGAACATGGGAATACCAGAAAGGGGGATATTCCCTCTATTTGGTTGGTCTCAGTGTTATTGACAAATATTTATGTGTCTCCAGGAACTTAGTTCTTTGTGTAGATTATAATAACCATTAGAATAAAGGCATCAAACATATTTATAAACCTGAAGACCAGAACGAGGTGTAACTGGGGTTGAAACTCCCAGCAGCACTTGTGGTTGCAGATCGTCTTCCCAGGACGGCTGCTGTACAAGCAGGCATGGGGGTCTGACTCCTCTTGTTTCCTGTGCCAGGTGGAATGTAAGAAAGCTCAGCCAAAGGAAGTGATGTCCCCTACTGGGTCTGCAAGGGGACGGTCCCGCGTGATGCCTTACGGGATGGACGCCTTCATGCTTGGGATCGGCATGCTGGGTAAGGACTCGGAGGAGCCCCTCTTCTCTCTACCCTCTTCAACGTGGTTCCAGGCTGGAACTCCTGTGATGGGAAAATACCTGGCGGGGAAAGGTGAATTTGACATTCTGCACTGCCCTCTTGTGGCAGAATGGGAGACCTGCAGGTAGTTGCTAGAGCCTCATTTCCCAAAAATCTATCACTAAGGCTTCCTAATTTAAAGGAACCCTTGCACACCTCCTGGAAACGTTTCCTTCTGAAGTAGGAGCCCGCCCACTCTGTGTTTGCTTCCTGCTCAGAGGAGCATGTTTGGAGGGAGCATTCATGCAGAGATGCAACAGGGAGACTTATCTCTGCTTTGAATGCAGAGGGTCACTTCCTGCTTGGCGCTGGGAGGAGGCAGAGGTGGTGTGCTACTGCTGGGATGGTCCTCACACATCTCTGCAGCTCTGGTTTTATTTTTCTATTTCTGCGAACAGGCTACCCCGGGTTTCAGGCCGCCACCTATGCCAGCCGGAGCTATACAGGCATTGCGCCTGGCTACACTTACCAGTTTCCCGGTAGGTCTGCTTCCCTCCATTCCTGCTTTGCTTTTGCTCTGAGGGCGGGTTTTGCCCCACAGCGATCAAGCATTTGCACGGCCCTTCCCAGCTGTCTCCGCTCCCACCGAGCAGGATGTGAGATGACCGGCAGGGAGGGGAGGCTTCAGTGGAAAAGAAGGGGCGAACTCCTTTCCTCCCAGGAGCAGGATGAGCAGGTGATCCGAGCCTCCTCTGGATTTGATCCTGCCTTGAGAACTGTCAGCCCTGCAAAAGCCCTGGGCAAGCCCCCGCTTCTCTCTCTCTCTCTCTCCCTCCCCCCCTTCTCCCCCTCCTCTTGTCTTGCCTTCCCTCTGCTGCTGCCTCTAGTCCTCAAGGCCCCTCCTCCCTGCAACCCCCAAAGGTCTCCCAGAGTTGCTGCATTTCTGAAAACAGGACCCAAACCAAGCAGTGCCGCCATTCTTGAAAAACCAGAGGTCACTGGGACTCGAGGGGAAGAGTTGGAGGGGGGCAAACATTCGGAATGCACCACGGGTGGCGGGCTGCTTACCGCAGTCAGAGGCAGCGCTAGAAGCTGCGAGGGAAGGGGGCAGGCTGGCAGGAGAACGGCAAGTGAGCAGCACTTGGCAAAATCCGGGGGTGGGGGGCAGGTGCTGAAGGTGAGCAAGCCATGACTTGCAAACTGTCCGAGCCTGTGGTAGCATGACAAAACCTCATTGGGGTGAGGAAAGGCAAGAATCCAAAGAAACTTGCCCGTTCCGTCACATCTCTTCAAGGTCATCTTCTGCCCGGAGGCAGCGTTGGCTGTCCAACAGGCAAGCCTAGCTTTCAGCAGCTGAGCCTGCAAAAGCGCCCATTGCCCGAGAGAGCGGTGGGCTCCCCCGGCGCTGAGCGGTCGCCTTCACTGGGCAGGGCCGAGGGCTCAGACTGCCTGTGACTCCAGCCGGCCTGTGCTGCTGGAGCTCCCGGAAGGAGGGCCGCCCCGACAGCTTAGCGTCTCTGCCCAGCAGGCCTGGCTCCCCACTCTCCAGGGTTAAGCCAGGGTGGAAAGGTCGTAGTAGTCCAGCACATCTAGGGGTTTTGCTAAGTACTCTGCCTCCAAAAGGTGTCTAAAACTTTCAGCTTCTTCAAAAATGGCAGCTGGGATGCTGATGCTGCCTGCCTCTCCAGCGCCGAAAGAGCTGCGCTGGACTCTGTATTTCTGGGCTCGGTTTGGAGGGATGCCTGTGACCTTTGGTCACTTTAAGAAGGGCTGGAGAAGCCAGCACAGTCCTCCTCAGACCTCGGGGAGCCAAGGTCACCTCCCACAGTCGCTGGTCATTTGGCAGTTCCCTTGTTTCCGTGGGCCCCCCCATTCCAAGAAGGTTGGGCTGCCCTTCTCACTAAGAGCTTGAGCCGGAACATGCTGGCACGCTGGGCCTCACTCGTCCCTGGAAAGCCCCCGAGGGCTTCTCGGAGCGGAGCCCTGACTCTGAGGAAGGCAGAGTGGCACGATGGTTTTAATGTGCTCCGGCCCGGTCGTGCTACTTTAATGTGCGCAGCCCCTTAATGTGCTGTTTGTTCCCCTTTTCCGGATGGGAAATGGAGGTTGGGGGCATGTTCCATATTCGGCTGGCTGTTAGCCTCCTTTTCACTCAAGGCTGTGCCTGCTTTCAGGAAGGCAGCAATTCGATGCATTCCCCGCTCCCTCTGTGGTGCTGGCATTTTGCATCTCTCTTCCCTCCCCTCCTTGCTGGGTCCTCTTGCTGTGCAGCTGAACTGGCCGCATGTCCTAAGTTGTCTCGCCTTTCGTTTTTAGAGTTCCGGGTAGAGCGGACCCCTCTCCCGAGTGCCCCTGTGCTCCCTGAGCTCACAGGTCAGTCCAGCAGTTTCCTAGCCCTGCATAAGTTGGAAGGGAAGAAGGGTGGCTTTGGGCGGCACCAGCACAGCATGCGACTTCGCGCAGGGAGGGGGGCAGGATGTGGCCCTCGTTCCCGTTGCCAGCTGCACCAGAACCGGGTGCTGGGGAGGGAGAGCAGAGCCACGGATCAGGCGGGATGGCTGCCCAGATGGGAAGTCTTCCCGCCACCCCAGGTGTTTAAGCTTTTGCCTGCCTGCAGCGGCTTCTCTTTGAGGAAAATGCATGTCCATTCTCACGTCCCTTCTTAAACGGACAAACATTTACCACTCCAGAAACACACCTGTGCACCATTGAAGCACCCGGAATGGTGCTGATGCCAGTCAGTGCTGTGCGTCTGTGCTGGGTTGCAGCTCTGCGGCAGAACATGCGCGTTGCACGTGTGTGCGGAGTTGGCGGGGTGTCGCTGCTCCACCTCCCACGCACGGATCTTGGGCTGGTAGGGCTGAAGGACCCCACATCCTGCCACCCTTGGGAGCCTCAGCCGGCCTACAGGCGGCGACCCTGCCCGAGGCGAGACTGCCCCAGGCGCTTCCGCCCCGGGCATTCTGGTGGCACTGCCGGTTTGGGGCCAGGGGAGCTGCAGTTCGGCATGGCCAGGAGATGCGGCGGGAGGGACGGGCCCTGTTGCCCAAGGAGGGGCATTGCGGGCACTGGAAGGGGCTGGCGGTGGTGGGGCTGGCGATTCAGCGCCCCTCAGGTGCCAGGCTGGGCTTGACCCGAGACAGTGTCAGCTGTTTGGCAGGCCAGAGTTTGAGCTGGGGTGGAACGTTGGTGCCCTGCGCGGGACCCCGCCAAAAGTCCCGCAGCTGGAAGCCAGCAGGCCAGGCTTGGGGGGGGGGGTGCTCCCTCCCTCCCTTGTCCCAGGGCAATTGGCATTCAGCGGGGAGGGGTGTCCTCTTGTGAGATGACCTCCTGGTGCTGGGGGGTGCCTGAAAACTGGTTAGGAGCTGTTTTTGCTGCCCTGGCCGTCTGTTTGGTGAGCCACACCGTTGAGGGGGACAGAGCTGCCGTTCCTGCATCAGCCATTGCTCTCTCTGGCCCGTCCCCTTCTGGCAGTTCCTCCCCTCACCGCCAGACCTCGCAAGGAAGCCATCGCTTTCCCAAGTGTCGGGCTGGGGAGGTCTTGTGAGCATCGAGTGGCCGAGTCTTGCTTGTCAGTGCAAGGAGTTGGGAGTCGTGCCACGGATTTAGCAAAGCGGGAGAGCAAAGCGCCTTTGCTGCTTCTGTGTGCAGTGTTCTGGACCATGATGGCCCCAGGTGGCCGAGATCCTGGGAGGAAGAGGTTCGCTGCCTCTGAGGAAGGAGGCAAGGGCCAGAGTGGCAGGCACGCGGAGGAGCCAGGCTCGGGGGCTTCCACTGAGCAGTGGGGCAGCCCTTCCAGCCATGGTGGCTGGGGATCGCGAGAGCCACCTGGTTGGCGAAGGTGGAACTGCAGAAATGGCCTGGACTCTGGTCCGGCAGGGATGCCCGCTCCCATTGCTGGGTGGATGCGGGGAGCTCTGTCTGCCCTCCATGGTCCCACCCTCTGCCCTGTCCTGCCCTGCCCTGCCCTGGTTCTCCTGCAGGGGGAACGGCACAGGGCACATTCTCGTGCTTCCTGCGTTGCCCATCGGGAGGAGGGCCAGCCAGGCACCCTGCTGCTGCATTCTGCTGCAGCTCCCCCCGCAGCCCGCAGGCCAACGATTGCTGGGGAGGCCGGGGAAGGCTGGCCGGCCGCTGAAGTGCTCCTCCCGCTCTTCCTCCCCTCAGCCCATCCATCTGCCTGCCCGTCCTTCCACGCCCGATGCGATGCCGGCTTCTTTTCTCCCTGCCCTCTTGCCCTGTTTAGAGGCCTCTTCCACGGGCATCTTCCTCCCGCCACCACCATTTCCCCCAGCGTCGTAGAACTCAGAGTCGCCATGTGCCCAGGCAGAACCTTGCTCTCTCCTGCGCGGCTTCTTCAGTTCATAGACTGACTGGCTCGCGGCGCCCCTTCCCCTCCTCCGTAGCATCCCCTCACGCTCCGCTTCCGCTGCTTCTTCTGAGACTTGGACCGCAGGCTCTGTGTGAGGGGATAATTAAGGAAATGTGATTCCACGTGGAGGTCCGCAGCAGGAAGCCCAGTGCTGGCAAGTGCAAAAGAGCGGTGGCCACCCTGCCCTTCACGGAGACATGCTCCCTTCGAGGCGGTCTGCTGTAGGCAGGTGACTCGGCGCCCGAGGACCCGCACAGAACCGCCGGCAGCTGGGCCCTGGGGCCTCTCTGCACACGCTCCCAGGTGCCCAACCGGACAGGGCCTGGCAAGCGCGTGCCAGGCCTTGTGGGCAGGCTGCTCTGTGGGGAGGGTGTGGGGGCCAGGCGCCATCCCTCCCTGGGATCCCAGAAGTGGCTCAGTATTCGCAGTGAGCGCAGCTCCTCCCCTTCGCAGGAGAAGCCACCTGCAAGCGGCCACAGTGGGAGGCAGGGCTGGAAAAGCAGCTGACCGAGGGAGGGCAGTTTGGAGGCTGGGCGCCCTGGGTGAAGCGAGAGGTGCGGCCGTGGCCTCCGGGGCCTCCTGCTCACCAGCAGGGCACAGCGGAGGTGTGCAGCAGGCGCTCTGGGGACAGAGTGTGGGCGCATCTGTCGCCTGCGTCCCCATCTCCCCTTGCAGCCCCCCAACAGCGTGGAACTGCAGCGCGAGGCACATCCCCGCCGCTGGGAGTTGCGGTCCAGCAGACGTAGGAGGCAGCAGGTTGCAGAGGGTTGCAGAAGCTGGAAGGCGAGAAATCGGGGCACCTTTTGAAAATGGAAGGAGAGGGCAGGAAAACTCACATCTGTCCTGTGTGTGGACTTGTACCAGCTCCCCCCTCCTTCCCCATCACAGTTAACTCCAGATCGTGGGCCAGTTCTGGCAGCTGGGCAGTTGCGGGAGTCAAGGGGGGTCTGTAGCCAGCACTGGCTGAACCCGGCAGTTCAGCCAGCCCAGTTCAGAGGGGCCCTCCGCTCCTGGCGTTTTTCTGCTCTCCCACGGCTCCCTGCTTCCTCTGGAAGGGAATGCTGCCCTCGAGCTCCCAGCCTCGCTCGGGTTGCGGAGCTAGCCCCTGCCCGTGCCGAGGGAGCGTGCCTGGGCTGTGCCGCGGAGAGGCGAGACCGCGCTGACCCCCTCTTATTTATTTATTTAAAATATTTATATGCTGTCCTATTCGCAAAAAAGCCTCAGGACGGCTTACAATATAAAATATAACATAAATAAAATAAATAAATTCCCGACCCACACTGGCTGCAGTTAAAAACATAGAAAAGACTATATTAAAACTTATTAAAATATCACTGGAATAAAAAGGTCTTAACCTGGCGCCGAAAAACAAATAATGACGGCACCAGGGGACCTCTCTGGGGAGCACATTCCACAGATGGGGTGCCACCGCAGAGAAGGCCCTCCTCCGGGTACTTTGCCTCCTGATGTCTTTCATGGAGGGCTCCCGGAGGAGGGTCTCTGCTGCCGATCTCGGGGGGCGGGAGGGCAAATACGGAAGAAGGCGTGCCTTCAGGTATCCAGGTCCCAAGCCGTTGAGGGCTTCGTAGGTGATGACCAGCACCTCTTCTCCCTGCAGCCATCCCCCTCACTGCGTATGGGCCCATGGCGGCGGCGGCAGCGGCGGCGGCCGTGGTGCGAGGGACAGGTAACGCTCCGGCACTCCCCGGCGGTGCCCTGCTGGCTCTGCAGTCTTGCGCTGGGGGTGGGTGGGCGGGGGGGCAGCATCTTGGCATTTTCATTGGCCAGTCCTGCTTCCTCCGGCAGGTTCCACTCCAAGTCGCACCGGGGGCTTCCTGGGCACCACCAGCCCCGGGCCCATGGCCGAGCTCTACGGGGCAGCCAACCAAGACTCGGGGGTCAGCAGTTACATCAGCGCGGCGAGTCCGGCCCCGAGCACTGGCTTTGGCCACAGCCTAGGGGTGAGTGGCTGCGGCAGGCGGTGGGCAGAGCTCCTGCGGGAAAGATGCCGGGGTTTGTTCCGCGGGGCTTGGGAGGCCTGCCGGACCGCTGCTTGCTCAGCTTATGCCTGCCTTTGCTTGCTGAGCTGTTCTTGCACACCAACCGTGGGGCTTCCTGAGCCACGGCCCCTGACGTCCTACGTCTTTCGGCCCGTCACGTACCGCTGAAAGCGATCCAGGCCCCACAAACGCCCCGCTGTTCTTTCGCAGGGGCCTTTGATTGCGACGGCATTTACTAACGGTTACCACTGAAGCTGAGGACCAAGAAAGAAAGAGGTATGCGCGAATGGGAGAGGGTGTGGGGAAGGCTGGGGTGACTGTCATAACGAGCTGCGTTTCAGAAGGCACCTCACACAGCTCTGCTCAGCCTCCCCCAGCCCAGGGTTCCCCAGCGGCTCCGGACACCAGCCATCCCTCCACCCAGCGGGCCCGATGGTTGCCAGCAGGCGAGGATGGGAGGCGGGGCTGCGGCTGGAGCAGGGCTCTGGGTCTTGCTGCTTGGCCACCGCCGAAGTGGTGGCGGGCTGATCCGGCCAGCGGCTGGAGGGAGGCCCTGGAGCCGCAGCACGAATGTCGCAAGGGCCAGTCCGGCTTCCGGGCCAATGCCAAGGCGCTGGCGCCACCTTTGCAAGTCTGATGGGGCTGGAGTCAGGGTCTCTGGCAGAGCAGCTTTGAGGGATAGTCGGTGACCAGCTCTTCTGCAGCTGTCGCCAGGACATGGCAGGAGAGCCTTTGAGCTCGTGGCTCTGCACCCACGGCATCGTCCGCCGCCCCACGTGTGCCCAGGCCACCTATTTGGGCCTCTCAGGTGTACTGTGGCCCTTACCTTTCAAGTAAGCCTTCCTGGGCCCCTTTCCAATGCTTCAATCCCCAAGGCAGGTAAGAGGAAAGCAAAGTGGTGCACGGAGCAGCAGAAGCCTAAAAGGGCAGCGGCCCATGCATCCAGCAGGAAGGCTGCAGTGGCCACGAATGCTTTCGGCAAGCTCTCGACGTAGACCGGTTTTTAAATGCTAAATGGAAATGTTATTTGGACATCTGTGGAACAGCCCGCAAAGACCTCTCTGGACCAAGTGGGGTGGGTGCCGGCATCCCAGTGGCCCATGTGGGTGGAGGGCCACGGCTTCCATCACCGGCAGTGCCCATGCCCCTCTGCCCCTGGCATGATGGGGCGGCCAAGGCTGGCAGCCGTGGGGCTGCCACCGTGAGCTCCAGTAGCACGGCTGCTTCGTGGGGCAGCGCAGGTGGGGCGTGCGTTGGAGGGGCCTGTTTGCTGCTGATGTCGGCGCTCCCAGTGAAATGGGCCCTGTGCCCCCAGCGTGGCGCTGGTGTTCCGCCCAGGTGTCTGGAGCCTGCCCATCTCACAGGCCCCAGAGGCCCCTTGGGATGCTCTGGGCTCACTAGAGGGACTTCAGAGGCCGAGTTGGGAGGTTTGTTCTGGCCTCCCTCCTGGTGGCCAGGGCGGGGAGGGTGCTGGGACCATTGGCACTGGCTCTGCCACCCGTTGCGGCCTTTGGGTGGAACACGCTGGCTGCGAGCCCCGTGCGAGCCAGTCCTGGCCCTGCCGGGAGTGGGTGAGGCCCCCGTGCGCTCGGGGAGGCAGCCGCAAGTCCTGCTGCAGGGTCTCTCGCGGGCCCCTTTTCACTGCTGTGTCCCTTCCTCCTTCATTCCCTTAGATTCCCCAGTGAGCCAACCAGGAACAGCGCTCCTGGAGGATCTGCCCCACCTGAGGGGTGAGCCACGATCCGTTTAGCGAGTGAAGCTGCACACGCGCGGCTGTTCCGCTGGGCTCCCGCTGCCCTGCCCCGATCCTGCCCGCTGACCAGGAAGCACTGGATTTGTATGCGAGGAGACCCTTTCTCCTCTTCCTATTAACCGCAGACCGTTTACACTTCTCCCCAGACCCTCCAACCCACTGATTCTTCTTTTATTTATTTTGTTAGCTTGTTAGTTTTGTTTTTTCATCTTTTGGGGGTGGGAGGGAAGGGGTCAGGGCAAGATCAGCCCTCTTGGTTTCATTGTTCTTCTTTTGCTCTTTTTCAGAGCTCCTAGAAAAACCTTTTTATGAATTGGACTTTTTTGTGATTGTGTGTAGGTAGCTTTTATTGAGGAATATTTTTATTTGGCTTTGAAATCTTTTTTGTTTTGTTTTGTTTTGTTTTAGATATATATATAAATATATATATATATATTTTGGGGGAGCGGGGAAGGAATGGACTCAGTCATGAGAAAACCATGTCTTTGAAAAGGACCAGGTTGTTACAAAATGAAGGTAATTCCGAAGAGAAGAGAGAAAGCTGAGAGAGACTGATGCATCTAATAGTTTCTCTCTCTTTTCTTAAAGAAGCATTTTCTTTTGTCTATGTGAGGCTTTTCAATTGTGTGGAATTAGCAGGATGTGAACGCTCGGGGGCGTTGCTGTGGAACAAATACAAACTGTATATTTTGCTAAGTGAAAAAAGAAACACTATTCATTAGGGCTGATTTCCCCCTCCTGTTTTCTAGATTTTAGGTTCCTGGGGGTTTATTATTGTTGTTATGGTTCTCCCGCCCCTTGACCTTCCTGTAACATATGTAAATACTGCAAGGTGTTCTTCGGCCTTGTGTCTGCAACAGAGCGACTTTGGGTTTGTTGAATTCCTTTCTCCCCCCCTCCCCCGTCCCTTTCCCCCACCCCCTTCGTTCCTTCCTTCTGGGCTTTGATGCCATGAATATGAGCAATACTATTCTTGGTTGGACCATGATGAACCTCCTTTCTTTTTTATACCTTTTACTGTAAGATTTTAAGACCTCTGATGGGATGGACGTGTGGCGTGGAGGGATGGGAGGAGGGTGTTGTGGGGGGGGAGGGGGGAGGGGAGGGAAAAGGAACCAGAGGGCCCTGTGGCCAGCTGGGGCTGCTTGGCCAGGCGACTCCCAGCAGGCGTTGTCTCTCCAGCACCTGCTCCGGCAAAGGGCTGTGTCCGCCATTGCTTGTCGCTGCTGATGCTTTGAACGGATGTCAACTCTCCTAATATTGATTGCTTCCTGCCAAGGGGCTCCTGACCTGCTGGGTGGCTTGGGGTGCCCCCCATTTTCTCATGAAAGTGGGGTGACGATTCAGGCATTGGGCAAAGGAAGATTTGATGCCAGGGAGACGTAGAGCTTCTCAGGGACCCATGAGCGAGAGACGTGCCACAACTGCCCTCTTTCCATGGCTGGTGCGCAAATCAATTTGCCAAAACGACACCAGGTGTTTCAGTTTGCCTCATACCCCACCAGAAATGACTGGAGCAAGGACAGCCGGAGGTTGAGTGGCAGGCGCCGGCCCCTGCCGCACTGCTCGTCGGCCACCTGCGCGCATCGTTTGGTGCCCCCACCCTGAGCCGTGCCCCGCGAGCGGCTGGGCGCCCCTCGAGGGGCCACTTCTGCCCCGCACCGCTCTTGCAAGCGGCCAGAGCCTCCTCCCGCGGCTGCCCTGGCTCAGCCGGGGTGGGGATGGGTTCCTGCGCTGGGGCAGCAGTGCCGAAGAGGCAGCCGTGGCCCCTCAGATGCACAGGCCTGACTGAAATGCAGCAGAGGAGACAGGTTCAGGGAGGCTGCCACCGTGTTTCCCCATCTCCATTTAGCATGCGGGGGGGGGGCCCAGACCAGCCCCAGCCCACCTGTGTCCCCCAACCAGCCCTCCTCCCTGGCCATGGCTTTGGTGGGTTCCCAGCTCTGGCATGCTTTTTCTCCAGCTGGAAAAGGCCGGAGCACCTCTCCTGGGCCTCAGATGCTGGTGGGAAGAGCTTAAGCTAACATGGGGTGGTGTTTCTGGTAGTTCAGCTCTGCCCCTTCTCCTAGGATTGGGGTGCAGACCCCAAGCGCGTCTCCGAACCGCGGAATCTCCATGTTCAACCAGGCCTCACACGTGGCGCCTCTTCCTGCACTGTGACCAGACCAAGGCCCACTGAAGGATGAGCTGTCTGGGAGGGCCGGCACGGCCCAGGTGCCCCCTCAGCGGCAGTTCCTTGCGTTTCCCCAGCAGGCCCCCCTTGAGTGCGGCTTCCCACCGAGGGCAGGCCTCGGAGTGCCATGGGAGCCCGTTCGGGAGCCCCGCGGTCATGGCGAGCAGCCTTGCGGACCTCCAGGGCAAGTCTTCAGACTTGAACCAAAGACCTAGTTTAAGGGGAGTGACTAAGCCTTCAGTTAAGATGCAGCCTTCCCAGGGAAAATAACCCAGCCTCATCTTAAGCTTTTAAACAATAACGTTTAAAACCATGTCCTCATTTCTCAAGTGTAGCCCCTTCTAGCAAGACAGGCGGACGGGAAGGGGCAGCCCAGCCTGAAACGAGGGCAGGCGTCACACAGCACTGTTGCAGTGGGAGCAGCGAGCGACTGGGCTGCTGCCTGCCCCCCACCCCGTGCCTTGCCGCTGTTTCCCGACAAGCAAGAGAGAAGCCCCCCAAAAGCTTTGGCCAGAGCACGTAGCGGGACAGGAAGAGCGTGGCCTGGCTTGGGCCCGCGGCAACGCGCCTGCCGGCAAGCCCGTGTCTGCAGGCGCTCTTACCTGGCGCCCCCTCTCCGCCCTGCATGTGGAAAATTAATGTACTGAGGGTAAGGGTGCATGTCTGACTTCTCCCTTGCATCTTAGTTTTCTGTGTGCAAAGAGGTTTCTTGCTTGTTTCAAGCTCTCAGGCCTTGCAGATCTCCCCCTCTTGCAGCCTGAAGTGGGCGAGTCCAGGCAAATGCTGTCACTTGACTCTGATACCTGCCGAAACTGCTCCTGACTCGAGAGCCGCTGGGCTCCATTGCATCCACCGCCTTCCGTGCCCGCTCACTCGCTCCCTCCGTCTTGTACCTTCCTTCGTCTTGTACCTTCCTTCGGCCTTCCTCCTCTCCCCATGGCATGGCTGACTTGTCCACACATCCCAAGCAGCAGAAGCCCCCACCTTACGCAGCGCGAAAATATTGGGAGAGTTCTCTAGCTGATGGAGGAAATGAGAAAGGACACTTAGCGAATTAGTACTGGAAACACAAAGCAATAATTTTTTGTTACTGAGATGAGTCTGTATGTCTGGTTTTTTTAAAAAAAGAAAAGACACGAAAGTGCAGCTGCGATGTATCGGTTTTATTTTTACTCTCTAGTCTTCAGCCTGGGGGGCTCTGGGGGCACTGTGCTACCTCCTCCTCGGACGTGCATTGAGCTGCCTGGGTGCCCGCCTCCAAGCCTGGCGGGGGGCGGCCCCAGCTCGCTTTTGGCGCTCTCGGCCGCTGCTGAGCCATGGGACTGTGGTTTGGGGGCCGCCATGGTGCGTCTTCTCTGTTTTTTTCTTAACAAAATAAAGCTGTGGATTTTATTAAGCCAGTTTTATTACACGTCCGTGTTTGTTCTTTCCATACCTGTCACCCCTTTTTCCAGATTTTCAGTTTTAAATTCCTAATAAATTATTTGAAAATGGCTTTTGTTTTGCTGTGTTCTGCAGTGTACGGGCATTTCCAAGGTGTATTTGGGTTTTTGTTGATGAAGCTCTTGGAGGGGATGGTCTCTTGCTGGGTCCGCCACCCCACACAACTTGGAGTTCAGCTCCCGTGAGCAACGGCACCCACGGCCCCTGGGCAGGACTTGGGGAGCTGTCGGGCACCCGGTCAGGGAAGTCTGCCCGGAGGAGGAGCAAGGAGGCAGAGGCAGAGAGGCGCCCTGGCTTTCTGGTGCAACTGGCAAGTGGGGTCAAAGAGCACGCTGTGTGGTGTCCTGGGTAAGCGTGTGGCACCAGAGCTCAGGCAAGCGGGAGCCAGGAAGCCGAGCAGGTGGCGTGGAGCCAGTCCCAGACGCTCGGCCGAACCGCCTGGCGGGATGGTTGTTGGAAGGATAAGACAGAGATGAGGAGGAGAGAGGTGTGAGCCACCTTGAGTTCCTTGAAAGGGAAAAGGGCAGGGTGTGAACATTTATACATCACTAGGGGCCACAGGCACCTCCTTGGACCTGGGTGGGAAACTTGTGGCCACCCCTGCACCGTGCCCTGCAACAACAACTCTCCCCGCCAGTGACTGTGGCACGGAGCGCCGGTGGGAGCTGCATGCCGGCACCTAGGAAGGCCCCGAGGTGCCTGCCCCGCCAAGCATGGGGTGCCGGGGGGGGGGGGGGGGCTGAATTGGCCTCCAGGCCAGTCACAGAGGGCACCTGAGTGGGACTCAGGACAGCTCTAGCCGGGGCACTGGGTTGGAAGGGGCTGGTCTGTGGTCATCCAGTGGTAAGTTCTCCCCATAAGTACCATTTCATGAATAGGAGGTGTAACTGCTGTTCACGTCAGTGGGGCTTGCGCAGGAGAACGTCCCACTGGATTGTGGGGTGCCCCCGGGTGTCCTCGGCTGGCTCGCAGCTCAGGGAGGTTGGCGAGGACCTGCTGCACCCCACACTTGCCCTTTCATTTCATTTAGAAAGCTGGGCGCCAGCCAATGTCCTCAGAGCCTGGCCACTCCAGCAGAGGAATGTGCCTTGGGAAAGGAGAACAAGAGATCCTCAGAGCGGAGCCTGGACCACGTGGGCCCGTGCCCTCCGTGCCCATCCCTCCGCGCTCGGGCGTGGGCTCCCAGGCCCTTGCCACGTGTGCACGCAAGAGGAAAGGCTGCTGCCCAAAGGGCTGGCCACTCGGGCAGCCACTCGAGGGACGCGGCGCGGGAAGCAGGCCGGCATCAGCAGGCAGACGGCTGCTGCTGCAGAAGTGAGCTTAGACTTGGCAGGCCAGGCGGGCGGCAGCTCCCTTCATTCCCAGCCAGCGCTGATGGGGGTTGCAGTGCTACACCCCTAGAGGGACAGGTTGGAGAAGCCTGTAGAAGGTTATTTGGACTGGGGAGGAAAAGAGAGTTTTGAGGAATGAATGGAATGGAGCAGCTGGAAGGGGTCTCTAAGGCCACCAAGTCGACCCCCTGCTGCGCTTCGCCATGTGCTCATGCATGCAGCTGCAGGCCCCCACCTTTCCCGCTGAGCCGCAGTGACCGGCCATGCTCAGTGGGCACGCAGGACATTGGAGCAAGCGAGGGGCGGTTGGGGGGTGGGAGGCAGGGGCAGGCATCGAAGCCCGCAAAGGGGGAAGAATGCTTATAACCATGGAAAAAGGTGTCTGTCTCCTCCTCCACCTTTCCCAGCCAGGTGCATTGGACTTCACCTCCCACCGGCCACTGGCAGTGCTGGCTGGGGTTAAATGGAGATGAGGCAGAGCAGGCCTGGAGGGGGCCTCTTGAACCCAGTCCTGGACTCCTGCAATGGGACTGCCCACCAGCCTGGCGCCCGAGTTCAGGCAGTGAGGTGTGTGCCCGTCCTCCTCATTTCCAGGCCCTGGGAGCCGAGGCCTGAGGATGCCCACCCCACCCAAATGTAAATCCTCCTGGTGGGGAAAGGAGACCGTGTGCTGGCGCTGGAACCTTCTCACTGCAAAACAGATGGCTAAGCCAAGCCTTGGAGAAGCAGCAGCCACTTTCAGATGGCCTTGTGTGATGTTTGTTTAGAATATTTATATGCCAGTCTGTCGCAAAGGCCTCAGGACAGCTTACATAAATAAAAAATAATAATATAAAACATAATGCAAATGAATTTCAGATCCACCCTGGCTGCAGATTAAAAACATATATAAACCAATATTAAAAGTTATTAAAATATTGTTGGAATAAAAAGGTCTTAACCTGGTGCCAAAAAACAAATAACAACAGTGCCAGGTGGACCTCTCTGGGGAGCACATTCCATAGGTGGGGTGCCACCGCAAAGAAAGCCCTCCTCCAGGTACTTTGCCTCCTAATATCCTTCATGGAGGGCTCCCGGAGGAGGGCCTCTGCTGCCGATCTCAAGGGGCGGGAGGGCAAATATGGAAGAAGGTGTTCCCGGGACAGAAGAGAGATGCTTAAGGAAAGGTAAACACAGCTCCCTGATCTCAGCTGCTGGTGCCAAGATAACAGCAGACCTATAAAGAGGCTGAAAAAGTGGATGACAGAAAACCCGTTCGGTGCCTGGCTTGCTGGCAGAATGAAACTTCTCTCCCTCCTCTTGCTGGCCCTTGGTGAGTTGCCACTAGCCAGGCCTGCTGGCCCAGAGCAGGAGATGGTGCAGAGGTGCCCTCTGGACAGGAATCCGGGGCCGGCGTGCAAGGCCCCGCACACCAGGATGAGTGAGCAGGAGCCAGATGCAGCGGGGCTGATTGCCACACTCGGAGCCCGTTGGCATCACGTCCACACTGCACACATGACCTCCCGGAAGCAGGAGGTCCCGTTGCTGAAAGCATCCAGCTGCAGCACCAAGGTTACCAAGCGGCAGAGGGGCGGCTTTCGAAGCAGGATGGGAAGCATGTGCAGGATGGGCCCCTCCTGGCACACACCTGCGTGTCGGGGGCAGGCAAGGGGGGGGGGGGGGGAGTGGAATTGGCTCTGCGTCTTCCCCTGCCTACTGATGGAACTTTCCTTCCACTTGTCAAAGCCCAGGTAGGTCTGCCTTGGGAGGGGGTGGGATGGCCTCTGAGGAGACCTCTGGGCTTGAGTCACCGGAGCTGCAGGTTGCTTGTGCTATGCTTACTGGCTTGGGCTAGCGCCTTTGCCACACTTGTGGCCAGAGGGAGCTAGATGGCCACTTCCCAGGCAAGTTCGAAGTGCTTGTGACCTTCTGAAAGGCTCCATGGCCTGGGAACAGGATGCATGGGGTCTCCTGCCGATACACCCAAGCCCTGACCAGGCAGCCTTCCCTGGCTGCAGTCTCTGAGGCATGGCGGGCGCTTAACGGCGAGGGCCTCTTCAGGAGTGGCTCCCTGGCAGCAACACTCACCTAAGACCCCAAAAGAGCCTTTGAATTTCAGCCCCAACACTCTGCTTGAGCCACTGGGCACATGTGCTGGGTTTTTTTGATCTTGGGCACATGTGCTGGTTTTGTGGTTACTTGTGGTTTAAAATGTAAACCAGCCTGCAAATGTTATGCTATTGAACTGCAGACTATAAAGGATGGGGAGGGAGTGGGGGACGGAGGGTCAGGAAGGGGTGCAGAGATGTTACTGAGTGTGGAGAATTTTTCTGAAGAAATCTCACCACTTTGCTGGGGTGGGGGCGTTTTCGCTTGGGCTCCCTGCACCACACCTGCAAGATGGGATGTTCTATCATTCTGCTACACATCAATCAGTTACTAGCACGTGGCTTGTGCATTTGTGCAAATGAGCTACAGGGACAGATTTTCCTTCAGTGAATCCAGGCTAGTGCCTCTCTCTCACTGCAGCAGGTGCGCAAGCAGAAGACTCTGCAGAGTCACCTGCTGTCTGCACGTTTCCACTCTGGGGCTCAGCAAAAGGCAGGCAGGCTGACCCTGCAAGGGACGGCTGGAGCTGTCTTGCTTGCTGCCTGCTGCCCTGCCCAGCCGTGTCTGGTTCTTGCAATTGTCAGGCATCCCGGCAAAGGATGTACTGCTGTCCCTGTCTCTGCACTGTGCACAGCACAGCACAATCCGGGGCCCTGGTCCAACCCTGCATGCAGAGGACAGCTCTGAACTCTGAATTAAAAGGAGGCCTGAGCTGCCTTGAGGAAGACTGATCGGCAGGAGTTTCACCTGGGGTCGAGCAAGCAACAGCTTCTGGGCTCTGCGATCTTCTTCTCTTTGACTCTTGCAGGGCCAGCCCAAAACATCCGGCTGCCCCTCCATTCCCTGCACATAAACAGCCCGGGTGGGCAGTTGCCTCCTGCTCCAGCACCAGCACCAGCACCAGAACGGCACTTCCCCCTCGCCTGAAGGAGGCCCCAGAGAGCTCCCTCTGCCGCTGGCTGCAGCCGCCCAGCATCGGGCCTCACTCTGCCTAGTGTGGGGCGGGGTGGGTGGCCTCACGCCCAGCCTGCTGCGTGCACGGCTGGCTGCTGCAGCCCTCATCTAGGGCGCACCACTCACAGGCTCAGGGGATGCCCTGGAGCACCGGAAGAAACCCGTGCAAAAGCTGGCATCAGCCTCTCTGCATGCACAGAGTGCAGCTCCAGCGGGCTCTGCCCTCTAAGCACGGAGCCTGGCTGCATTGTTCCAGCCCTCTGGCTGAATTCTCTGCTCGCAGGGAGGCTGCCTGTTGCAACACTGCATGCTGCTGCGCCAGGTTGCCTCCCTCCATGCCAACGCACATTCAGATTAAGACTGCTGCCTGGGCAACCCTGAATGTTTTACACACTAGAAGAGGGGTGCTGCACCTTCCTGCCCAGGGGCCAGTTCCATTCTGGAGACACTCTCAGGGCACTGCATTCCAGTGGTGTGCATGCAAAGTACCAGCACGATTGTTTTAAACCTTCTTTCAAGGAAGTGAAACCCACCCAAATAGCTGGTCGTCTCCTGAGAAATCGCTCTCTCTCTCTCCCCCCCCCCCCACCCCGCTTTCCCAGTGGTCTCAGTCAGTGCTGCCAAATCCCGGAATCTGTGGCAATTTTGGAAAATGATCAAATGCGTCATCCCCAGCAGTAATCCCGTGTGGGATTTCAGCACCTACGGCTGCTACTGTGGCTTGGGGGGCAGCGGCACCCCAGTGGACGCACTGGACAGGTGAGCCCCACCCTTTCTGCACATCCTTCCTGGGTGTGCGGCCCACCCGGGCCTCCTCTCTTTTTGCTGGGGACGGAAAAATGGATCCATTTGGTGCAGAACCCCAACCAGTCCAGCTGAGAAGCGCCAAAGTCACAGCTCGCTCTCTTCGTCCGGAGCTGTGCCCGGCTGGGCATGGGGAGGGCGGCGTGCGGCAGGCCCAGCCCAAGGCAAGTTTAGGCGGAGAGCCTGGGGCGGGGGGTCGTCCGACTTGCACAGCGTCGCCCTCGGCTGCGTGGCTGAACGGAAGCGGCTTTTCCCAGGCCAGCTGGCCGCACGCACGGTCTGGAGGGGAGCACTGGCGGGAGGCTGCGGCCGTCTCGTGATGGCCCATGGGCCTGCGCACGGCGCTGCTGGAGCAGTCTGGGTGGTGCGGCAGCCGGGGGCCTGGCCGGGGCCGGCGCCGTCGAGGCCTGGGGTCCGATCCTTGCTGGGCCATGAAGCCACTGGGTGAGCTGGGGCCAGTCACCGCCCACCTGCCCAGCCTGTTTTGCAGGGCTGCTGCGAGACTGAGCGGGGAGGAGCCCCGAGCGCTGGCTAGCGGTGCAAGGAGCTGCCATCGGTGCAAGGGGGGGGCGTTTTTCCTCGTCATACTAAAACTGCCAGTAAAATTGATTGGCGATATTATTCTGTTTATGCCTTACATTTCTACTCCACCTTTCCCACAAGGAGCCCAGGGCCTTCTCCCCTCCACTTCTTATCTTCACAACAACCCTGTAAAGTAGGCCAGCGGAGACTAGCCCAAGCCTCGTGAGCTTTGTGGCCGCGTGGAGACCAGACCCCAGCCCAGCCCTCACTGCCACGCCATGCCAGCCGCGGTAGAACGAAGGCCGTCATTGCATTGCTGCTGGCATTATTTGATAGCTCTATATTTTGCCTTTTTCTTACGAACTCAAACTGATTGACACCCTCCTCCTCGCAGTCTTTTCCCCACAACATCCCTGTGGGGTAGACTGAGGTGAGAGGGAGTGCCTGGCTCAAAGTCACCCGGTGGGCTCCACGGCCAAGCGAGGACAAGAACCCAGACCGCCTGAGTCCCAGTACCATGCTCTTAACCACGAATCTACGCGGGCCCATCGCAGAATGGGATGCAGGAGTTAATTCGACGGCCATTTTCTCACCCGGCCCATCGAAGCAGCCTCCCCAAGCCCCGGCCCTGGCGTGGAACGCCAAGGATGTGCAAAGCGGCCTCTCTGGCCACAGGAAGAGCTCCGGCCGGGGCTGCCACTCAACCTGTGCTAACCATCCCATGGCCAGGGCCCGCCAACATGGCTCCCAGTCCGGCCTTATCCAGTAGCTTAACTGATGGAACGCATGGTCACGAAATGTGGTCAGGCAGTAGCTTTATCCCATTTTTCCAACAGTGGAAAAATGTTTTGAGGGAGCCCCTGGGATTGGCTGTTTCCTGCTGGCATCTGCTGGCGTCCAGAAGAATCTTTGGTCTGAATCCAGCAGGGCTGCTTTAGTGATCATAGGATAGCTAAGAGTGGAACTTCCATGTTCGGAGGCAATCTACCTGTGGATGCTGAGGACAAACAAGGAAGGTTCATGGCCCCAGCAGGGGGTTCTGGGAAGTACCTAGCTAGCTGCTGCAGGACCAAGAGGGACCAACCTCAGTCTCTTCATGAAGGTGGCTCTCGCCTTCCTTTGCACCAAGCCTGGAAACAATTCAGAGCACTCGTTTTTTCTTCTTGCACAGATGTTGCCAAGCCCATGACAACTGCTATTCTGCAGCCAAGAAGCACCCCGAGTGCCGATTCCTTCTGGACAATCCTTACATGAACACCTACCACTACAAGTGCTCTGGCACTACCATCACCTGTGAAGGTAGAAACATAGAAACTGAGCGAGTCAGAAGGAGTCTCCTGGGTCATCTAGTCTGACCCCCGGCTCCAGCCGGCTCCGCTCACGACATGCCCACCATGTGCACGTCCAACCTGTCCTTGAACACCCGCACCGATGGGGCCTCAACGACCCCCCGTGGAAGCCCATTCCCACCCTCGGGGTCCTGACTGTCAGGGAGCGCTTCCGGGCATCTGGACACACTACACACCATGTCCAGCAGGCTGTCCTGCTCCTCAGGCAGAAGGGCCCAGGCCTGTGGCATGCCCAGTTACCCCTGCCCTCGCAGCTACCGTGTGGCCCTCTGCTACCACAGCTGTTTCCAGCATGCCCCGTTCATGCAGGGGATAGCGAAGTGTGTGTGAATCAGGTTGGGGGTGGCATCCATGAGGGTGCAAGGGGGACAACCGGCCTGGCCACACTCACTGGCACTCCCAGCCACGTCCACTGGCATGGCATTCTCAGCCCACCCCCAACAGGCACCGATGGACTTCCTGGCCCGTGTCTGGGGAAAGGTCCTCTCTGTGCCCCGCTTCCCCATGTCAGAGAGGTGGCCAGGCTGAGTTGCCCCTGCAACTTCAGGCTTCACTGCGGTGGGGGCTGCCCGGGAGCATTAACAGAAATGCTCCCGAGCCCCAGTGTGGTTTCCTCTGTCTATTTGCAGAGAAATCAGAATGAAGTTTTAGGCTTAAGTCAAATTGTGCAAAGCAGAAACCAGACCCAAATTGTCCCTGGAGTCATTAATGCAGCAGTTCTGCACCCTCATAATGGAAACTAAGTTAGTTCCCTAGGTCTCAGTGGGACTTTTTTCTGCACAGACATTTCTGGCTTAAGAGGGGCTGTTCCAAGATCAAGAAAGAAACTGTGCATTTATTATTTATCATAGTAATGTTTACATACCAGCTAATTTACTAAAAGGGCATCAAGGTGGCATAAACCAGGGGTCTCAAACTTGCGGCCCGCGGGCCAATTGCCGGGACGGGGGGGCACGGGGGAGGGGCCCTGTGGCCTTCAAAGCACCAGCGGCACCCGGGCTGGCCTCCGGGAGCGACGCGGGATGAGGGGCCCACCACCACCGTGGTGGTGGGATAGTTGATGCGGCCCAGCCTCACCCAGACTCTACTTCCAGCGGCCCCCAGGTAAGTTGAGTTTGAGACCCCTGGTTTAAACCAAGAACACTGTATCACAGTTACCATGAATCTATCTGCCACACTATCAGGAACTGTGAACAGGAAGTATTTAACTAAAAGTGCAGGAGCCCTGAAGAGACTCCAACAGCAGTCTGGCCTCTCCATCATGTATAGGATGGTTTCTGGTTGTGTTTTATTATGGGGAAAAAAATCCACAAATCGGGGTGAAATAACACAGGAGGGCAACACTGTAACACTAGAAAGCAAGATTTTGATCCTGGTACCAGCCAGATACTCCACAAAACAGAAGTTAACTAAGTATAGCAACTTCAGAGCAAAGGCTTGAGTGCTAGGAGGACACTGAACGAACTGTCCCGAGCTTTCAACGTCTCGGAGTATTTCAGAGCCGGGCCTCAGGGTGCTGCTGAGGGAAGCGTGGGCGGGCTTCGTTTTCCAAAAGGAGCGGCGCTGGGGATCGCTCAAACCCTTTCCTTCCCCCGCAGGGAAGAACGGCGAATGCGAGGCATTTATCTGCAACTGCGACCGCAGCGCTGCCCTGTGCTTCGCCGGAGCGCCTCACCACGGCGAGAACAAGCGCCCAGGCGCGAGCGGGCGCTGCCAGTGACCGGAGCGCCACGCGCTGGCCCTGCGAGGCCCGGCCGCCTTCCCGCGGGGGGCCGGGGAGCCGCGGCGGCCAGGCGTCGGGGCAAAGCTGGAGCCCGCGAAAGGGGGCCAGCCAGGGAAGGGCCTCCTCGGGAATAAAGCCCGGCACCGACGCGCGCCCGCTGCTCTTCCTTCCCGCGCGGCGCGGCGCGGCGGCGCGGCGCGGGGTGGCAGCTCGCGGGGGAACCCCTGACCTGGCGGGAGCGGGGCCTGGCCGCGGCGGGCACCCTCCGAGGGCATTTTCGCCCGCGGCCTCCGCCGGGCGGGCGCACCAGCGACGCCGGGGGAGGGCGCTCGGCCGGCTGCAGGGGGCGGCGGCGGGGGGCTGCCGCAGTCGGCGCTGGCCGCGTCCCGTCGGGAGGCCCCGGCCGTGGGAAGGGCGCGGGCCGAGGAGCGCCCCGCCGCCGGCGCGTGTGTCACAATGCGCGGACCGGCGCCCGCGGCCCCTGCAGGGGAGGGCGGCGCAGAGGCGAGGCGAGGCGAGGCGGGCAGCACCGCGCGGCCACCGGGCTCCAGCTGATCCAGGGCGAGCGAGCGAGCGAGCGGGGAAGGTAAGCCGGGCGCCTCGGGGCCCAGCCTTGCCCCCCCGGCGTCCTTCCGGTGGGCTGCGCAAGCGCCTTCACTCCCGGTCGCCTTTGAGCCGGCCTCGCAGGCTCAGGGCAGCGAAGGAGAGCGCGCGCCGGGGCCCCTCGGCCCGGGCGGCTTTCGGCCCGGGCGGCAGCGACGCTCCCTCTCCCCGGAGGGCTCGCCCGCGAGGGCACCGCCCACCGCCGCCTGGCGCTGCACCTCGCGTGGCGCGCGGGGGCGCTGCCCGGGGTGCCGCGGGAACCCTGCCCCCCCCCCGCACAAGTGGGCACAGCCCCGCCCTCGCCGCGCGGCCCTTCGCGGCGCTCGGGTGCTTTCACAAAACCTGCTTTATTCGCCGTTACAGCTTGTCTCACAACTTTATCCCTTCTATTCCTCAGTCCCAAGCCTCCAACCACAAAGCACCTTCCTCCTGCTCCCCTTGCCTTCCCAAACCGCCCCCCATTAAAGAAAAGCCGCTTGGCTCCGGTTGAAGGCTGGGAAGGATGAGAGGCCCAGCCCGAGAGGAGCCTCCCGCTTCCCTGTCCCACCAAGGCCCCTCAGGACGGGGGCCACCAGGCCGTGAGACATGGTGCCTCTCGGCTTCCCCGCTGCCTGCGACGCGCCGGCATCAAGCCAGGAGGTCTCCTCCCACCCATTTCTCTTCTACTGCTCCAAAGCACTGCACAACCCAGTGCTCCCAGTTTCAGAACCGTAACAGTCCTGTATGGTAAGTTGGACTGGGACATGAAGACCGGCCCCAAGCCACCTGGCAGACTTCACGGCTGAATGGGGGCTGGAACGCGGGGTCTCCCTGGGCCAGCCTGATGCTCGCTCCAGCTGGCTACATTTTTTCTGGCAGGGTTCCAGCGCCTGCAAACCACCGCATGGTTGGCAGAAATCAGACAGGCCAGAATTTTCCTCCAGTGGGTTTCCTTTCCACTGAAAAAAGGCACCTGTCAAAGCTCTGCCTGAGGGAGCTGCAAAAGGGACGGGCCCTGTGGGGAGCAGGCACTTACCCGAGCCTCTGTGTCAGACCCACACGCAGCTGCTTTGCGTTACGTGTTCCTACACTGATCCGGCTGCTGCTGCCCTCAGACACCTGCACAGGCCAGGGTGCTCTGGGCTCGTGGAGGTTCAAGGACGGCCCCCTCAGAGCACACTGTGGCCGGGGCCGGATGTGTATGAAGTGGGCGGGGGCCCTCCCCATGCTCTCCAGGAGCCTTCCCAGCCGGCCGACCTGATCCTCCTCCTCACTCAACACAGGCTGCCTGCAGCTGATCCCAGCCAACATGTTACACCCAGCTTGTTCACCCTTAAGCAACTCGAAGGTGGCCTTCCAACACTGTGGAGAGGCTCCTCTGCTTTCCTAGGATGGTTGATGGAAATCGGGGGAGAGCGGGAGAGCCAGCACGAGCTGGGTGTCCCGGGCACCTGGGGAGAGTCCCTGGGGGCCCGCATTCAGCCGTTTCGTGCAGAAGGCGAAGAGCCCTGTGGTGCAGGGCAGAACCCCATGGCACCCCACAAGTCCCTGGGCTGGGCCCCAGAGCCCTCCCTCTGCATGCCACTGTCTGGGCTCGCTGGGAATGACGGCATCCCCAGGCCGGTCCCAGCGAGGCAGCCGAGAGGGTACTGTACTTTCCCAGCCTCGCTCATCAACGGAATTGTGGCTGATGCCTGAGAGGAGATCTCCACAAGCCATTCCATCCGAGAACACCTGGTTGCTGCTGCAGGAGGGAGATTAAGTGGCGCCCTAGCGACCAGCCTCACGGGCACCGCGATCGCTTGCTGGCCCACCCAGCACCTGATCAGGGCTGCACCCACCTCGCAAACCTTCACTTGACCCACAGCTTCCCCCAGAAGATGTTGGGAAGTGCCCTTTGAGGAGATGGTGAGTCTTCTTTCAGAGCGGGCAAAGGCAACCTGTGGAGCTTGATGCTTGGCCAACAACTCCCATCTGTCCTCATCACTGGCTGTGCCGGGTATGGCTGAGGGGAGTTGTAGTCCAAAATGTCTGCAGGGCAGTCAGCCCAGCCTTGCTTCAGCGAAGGTCATTAAACGTGGTTCACTTGGGTAAGTCCATACCCAGTGCTCAGGTTACAAACAGGTGCCAAAGACTGCAGTGATGGAAGAGCTGGAAGCCGCTGCATTGCATTGTAAGGAAGCTCTGAACCAACAGAAAACAGGGTCAGAGAGCGGGGTAATGTGCTAGTAACCTCTACCCTGCAGAAAAAGCTGATTTCTCCTGGAATAAATTCCTGAGACAAGTTCAAATTTTGCTTTAACAAGAAGTATTATGCTGCCTTTCCAATCCCAAAGTCTGGAAAAGAAGAAATTCCTTATACCCAGATAAGAGGAATCATTCCAAGTGATCCTGGTGACAAGAGTCATTGTGAAGGTTAAAAAAAAAGGATCTGGATGCTGGATCCATACCTAAAGGTCAAAATCCAGACGTCTTCCCAAGGAAAAGGGCACTGAGAGCTCAACAAGCTAACCTTCCTAACCCTCTGGCAGGTTCAGCCCAGAAGCCCCTGTGATTATGCCTGTGACCCCTTATCAGAGGAGAGTGGTCAGTGATTTAAAGAAAGCTGTAAGGCCTGCAGACTACCCTGAAGAAGGACAGCAGTGCAAAAGGAGCTGCGGCTGATTCGCCATGAGCAAGAGGAGCTAGGCAAGATCCCCCTGCTCTTTCATGTTCTCCCACAGGTATCCCAGGGGACTTTGTGGCAGAACTGACTTGCTCAGTTCCCCTGTCGCGGCGATCACGAGCCCCTTCTCATTCATCAGGGCTTTAGTGTCTGTTCACTGAGATTTTGACAGCCATGGAAAGCCCCTTCAAAGTGCCCAAATGGCACGCTGTGGGAGATGACAGTGGTTGACAATTTAGGGCTTGCAAAAAGGGGGTGCAATTTACACCCCCTTTGTGGTGAGCTTCTCACCTTTGCTATTTTGCCCACCACCTTTGCATGTGCCTGTCAAAAACTACCTATTGCCCTGTTAAAACTCCATTTTAAAAGAAACCCCAAAGGTGATTCCTTTGCTCTCCATGGAGGGGAGAGGCTGCACTTTTGCAGTTTCCTGAGGAGCGACAAGTCTCTGGAAAAACTGCAAACTGTTAGGATCCTGAGGACAGTTATGTCAGAAAAGCAAGCAAAACAGCAAGAACAACCAAGATGAGGATTTCGTCACAAAGGGAGTGTACCTTTCATCACAAAGGGAGGGTACCTCACTACCCTCTTTGCATGAGCAAAAATCTCTAATGCCTTTGCTTTCTCTTGACATCTGTCCAGAAAAGCCCACTTTGACAGCAGGAACAGACCAGGGTGTTGCCTAGCTGAGCTCTGCATTTCCAAACTCATGGAACTCCTCACCTCTGCAGGTCTGTAAGGACAACTGCATTATTATTGTTTAAAAAACATTTGTGCCCATCATGGGCACACTTTATAAAAAGTTTACCAAGCACTGCAATGTGCCACTTGAGCATTTGGAAGAGGGCTTTCGGCAGCTGTTGAAGCAGATAGTGCGGAAATTGGTTGTCACGCCTGAGACAACTCTGCTCTGGAAAAAAAATGGGTAGAGTACAGAAAAGCCGTGGCAGCAAAACGTGGTCACAATAATGGCAGGTTCGTTCGTTTGGCCAGTGGATGCTTGGTGGTTGCCCGAGATCCACTTGGCCTACACATGCAACCATTGCAACCTGGTTGGTCTGTTGGAAGAAACATGGGAAACGAAGGCATGGAAAATCCCTGGAAAGGGGCAGCAGTTGGGAGCAGAAGAGCCAGAGGTCCAACTGTGCCGGCGAGAGCTGTGGGATGGAGCTGCCTTCACGTGTTTGAGGCCAAGACTGGAGGACAGCCTGCAGAGGAAGGACTGCAGGATGCCCTCAGCAGCAGCAGGCAAGGGGCTGACAGTCAGGAGCAATGAGCCCAAGGCCTACAGCTGCAGCAGCAGCAGCAAGAGAGGACCAGTTGCTGTGGGAGTCTGCCTGCCACTCGGGAAGGCCTGCCACTCCTGGCCTCCCGTACAGCTGTTTCCCCGGGGGGGGGGGGGGTGATTAGAGGCGTGGCTGAAAGGTGGTTGATGCTCATGAAGCCCAAGCGGCTCTTCCTCCTTCCTTCTCATCCATTTGGGAACAAATGATACTACCAAGTAGAGGCTTTAAGAAATCGTGTCTGTTGAAGCTTTGAGAAGCAACAAAATCCTCCATTAGATGCACACATAGTAAAAGAAAAGGTGGTTCCCAACAAAAGAAAAGAAGGTGCTCAGCAAAGATGACAAAATGATAACAGATGACAAAGAAAGGAGGCAGACCTGCTCAGGCAGGAAAGGCAGAAGTCTTTGGTTCAGTTGCCCCCAAATGACAGGAAGTGCTAGTTCTTCCCTACTCAGCAACGGTGAGGCCTCGCCTGGAGTCCTGTGTCCAGTTCTGGGTTCCCCACTTTAGGAAGTATGCAGTCAAACTGGAAAGGGTTTAGAAGAGGGAAACAAAAATGACCAGGGAAATACAAACAAAGCCCTATGAGGAGAGACTGAGAGAACATCTGGAATACCATGTCCAGTTCTGGGCACCAAGATTTAAGAAAGATGCAGGAAAATTAGAAAGGGTCCAGAGGAGGGCAACAAAAATGATCCAGGGTTTGGGGTGACTGCCCTATGAGGAGAGACTGAGGGAACTGGGCATGTTCAGCCTTGAGAAGAGAAGACCGAGGGGGCACATGATATCCCTCCATAAATACCTCAAAGGCTGTCACAAGGAGGAAGGTCAAGATCTCCTCTCATTGATACCAGAGTGTAATCAAGTCAAGTTGTGACAATCCAGGTTCAGGTTCGATATCAGGAAAAGCTTCCTCATGGTCAGAGCTATATGATAGTGGAGCCAGCTGCCTAGAGAGGTGGGGGGCGCTCTCACACTAGACATATTCAAAAAGAAACTGGGCAGCCCTCTGAGTGGGGTGGTGTGACTTGGTGTCCTGCAACAGCAGGGGGCTGGACCCAATGACCTTCATGGCCCCTTCCAACTCTACTGTTCTATGATTCTATGAATGGGCATGTTTAACCTTGAGAAAACAGGGGCGATATGGTAGCACTCTTCAAGTACTTGAAACGCTGTCCAAAGAGGAAGGACATAATCTCTTCTTGATCAGCCCAGAGTGCAGGACAGAATAAAATGGGCTCAAGTTACATGAAGCCAGGTTGTGGCTAGACATCAGGAAGAACTTGTGACTGTTAGAGCTGCCCAGCAATGGAACCAGTTACCTAGGGACGCAGTTGGATAGCCATCTGTCAGGGATGCTTGAATTTAGCTCCTGCATTGGGCAGAGGGTTGGATCTGATAGTTTTATTGGCCCCTCCCAACTCTAGTTTTCTATGATTCAAGGCCCAGCCAATCCCAGTCATTCCAAAGAGACGTCTGGGAACTTGTAGGGTGGCTGGCAGTGGCCCTGGCCAGCTTAGCAGAGGCAGCAAAGATGTTTTACCATTCCTGCCAAGTGGTTCACTGGCTAGTTCTCAGGAGTTACTCACATTCAGATGACAGGGCAACCAACCTATTGCTCATGAGCGACCCATCTGGTGTGAAACAGTTCAGGTTTGCAGAGCAGCCATAATGGGTTGCAGTGTTGTGCGAACCCACTCACGGCGTGAGATGAGGCTTGCAGGCTCCTCAAGTGGGGCACGATCCAACGGAAAGTTCTTCGACAGACCCTCCCACCCAAATAAGTGCAGATGGGCGTGAGATGCAAATCTTCTGCTTTCCAGTGAAGCATGTGCAGGAGAACAATCCTGCTGGATGTGCAACATGCTCATGAATAAGATGCTGATTGACTGGGTTTTCTGCCAAGCACTTGACATGCCATCTCCTTGCCTCTCCTCTTTCTCTCTGGCCAAGTGTAGTATGGAGACCCTGGATGAATTTGACAACGAGTACCCGCTAACGGTTTCCTTCTGTGAGCAGATTTCCCCGCAGGCTTTTGATCAGCAGGCCCTGAGCTACACCAAGAAATCCCTGCAGGAACTTTATGCTCAGATGGAGCAGAACCCGGGAATCTGCAAGCGGGTGCTACGCAAGAGGAAACAATCCGAAAACGAGAAAGCTGGCTTGGTGCGATTTCTGAAGGTAAGGCTGTGCTTCCCAAGGGGACCTCCAAAGCAAGTTGCTGAAGGACAGAGGAAAGAGCCCTGCTTTCTCCCAGGCCTCTCACTGTGGTGATCAGCAGAAACAGCTTGCAGGAAGGCTTCCTGTGCACAGCACACCTTCTTCCTCCACCCTCTGAAATGGTCCTCCCCACTGCCCAGCCCACAGCATCTGGAGTGGCACCATGTCTGCTCAGCAACCTTGTAATCTGGCCACCTGCTGCTTTTGCATGTTTGCAGGCTAATTCGCCTGCCTCATGTATATAGTGCTCTTTTCCAGGCCAAGCTCTTTTACATGCTTCAGGGAGACATGAACTCTGACAACGTGCTGGGGGAACTGGAACTGGAAGAAAAGGTGGAGCAACTGAGGCAGGAGATGGAAAAGGCTAGTGATTATGCGTGCGGTAAGAAGCCCTCCTCTCTTCTCCCTTCTGTCTGGATTTAGCTCCAGGCAGCCCGTCCCTGTGATCCCTCTGCCCCACACAGCTTCCATCATTACTCTCCCTAGTACTCATTTGCATAATTAATTCAGAGGGACAAAGGGATGAATTGGGCAACAAAGTGGACAGTGGAATTCAGTGTGATTAAAGATTAACCACGTTTTTCTTAACCACCAATATAGAACTCTGGGCCCTAATTGACCAGTTAGATTGCCGGAATTAGCAGGGCACATGGCAGCTTTCCTATGGCCACTTGGCCTTCCTGGGCCACATCACCACGGAACCCTCCCGTGCTTCCTGCACTCTCCTCCTCCCTTCCAGCCTGGAACCTTGGGCTTTAATTTGCACCAAATGCAGATCATGTCTGAACTCAGTCAAACTGTAGTCTTAATTACTCTTTAGAGAATCAAACTGTAGTTGAGAAGTCGGTTTGTTTCCCTAATTAAAAGTTAAGATGAATCACGGTTTCAAGGTCTGGCATAATCTGAAACTGAAAATATCTGGAGCGTAGTTTAGTGGTCTGTCGGAATTAGCGACTGACTTGCACCAGGTCACAGCTGATGCGCACAGCCACCATATTTGTACCAGCTTCTGGGAGAGAAAACGCATCAAAGGTGAACGGAGAGCAATGCAGGTGGTTCCCGGGGAAGCATGTGCAGCCTCGCTTTGTGCCGCTCCAAGTGCCGGGCAGCTCAGAATTGCAGCCGGAGCACCTCCGAAGAGCAGGTGTGGAGGGGCCCTGCAGGCCATTGCCCCCCCTCCCCGCCACCCGGGATTCCATGTGAAGGCGCTCCTGGCAAGGGCTGCCTCTCGACAGACACCGGGGTGGGGGAGCCCCAGCCCCTCGGGTCACGGGTTCTGCTGCCGTACTGCTCGAAAGGCAAGAGGTACTTCCTGCAACTGGAGCCAGTTGCTCCGTGTCCTGCACTCCGGGATGACCAAGAAGAGATCCTGACCCTCGGCAGCAAGGCAGCCTTTCAAGGGTTTGCTGCCCTCCCTCCCCTCAGCCTCCTCCAGGCTGATGGTCGAGCAAAAGCCAGCTATTTACACACTCATTCCAAGATGATGTTCACGTTGATGCTGAACTATCACTTTCTGCCCATCATCTTTTCCTGGAATTTAAAAATATCACATTTTCAAAATACTAAAAATGAATTTTTAAATAACAACAACAATAAGAATGGAACTTTGTGATATGACAGATCACTTTTTTAAAGATGAGAGACTTAAAATGCTTTGGCCTCCTGGGTGTTGTGTAGTTGCCCTCGCTGTGTGCAGGCCAGGGCCAGGCTGGGCTGGATGTGAGGGGGCTGCGATGCTTGTTGCTGCTGCCTCATGCATAAAACAGCCTTTCTCCTTCGCAGCTGCCAAGACAGCATTATGGAGGCCTTTGGAGGTGCAGATGGGGAAGACTGCCCCGCTGGGAGGATTCAGCCCCAGCCAGAACAAACTTCTGGACTCCGGTGTTCCAGCCATGCCCAGAATATTTGGTTCCTTCCCAAAGCAGGTTTGCGCTTCTCAGAAGGCCCTCCTCTGCCACCGCCTCCCGTTTTCCCAGATGTTCGCATCAGTGTCGAATGGTGTGGAGCAAGCGGAGGGAGACCTTCTCTTCCCCCTTCTGTACTGGCACCCAGCTGGGTCATCCCAGGAAGCTCGTGGGGAGAGATTCAGGGCGGACCAGAGGAACCCCGTCTTCACACTGTGCGCAATTAACCGGTGGGATTCCCTTCCATGAGATGTTGCGATGGGCCCTGCTCTGGACAGCCCTGGACCAATTCCTGGCAGGGAAGGGCATGGATGGCACCTAGTCTGGATGGCTGGGAGGGCACCAGGATGAAAGGCAACCTGCCTTAGTGCACCGTCGCTGGGGACCCGGGCAGGATCCTGTGGGCAGCCGGCGGCCCATCTGTGAACAGAATGCTGGCCCAGATGGGCCTGTGACCGGTCCAGCCCAGCTTCTCTTAGGCTCTGATGCAGAATCTGCTGTGATAGCAGGGTGGGGTGCCGGGAGGGGCTCGGTGTCAGAAAAAATACTCAGGCGGAAGAACTGGGGCAGCAAGAGGCATGTGCATGTGGGTGAATGGCCAGCCAAGTCAGGCATCAAGTGCCACGGGGCTCCCTGTGGCCCCCACACTAGTCTTTCAGCACATGCCCACGGACAGCAGAGTCCTGGGGCCGAGGGCCCCCCAGAGATTTGCGGCCCAAGCGAAGGATTTGGGCCTGCAGCCCTCGGGTCTGCCCCGACACGGCCCCTTCCCACAGGGCTGCCACGTGCCCCCTTGCTGCTGGGGAAGGTCCTGCCTCTCCCTCCTTGTGGGGCAAAGCGGTAGCCCTGGCGGAGCAACCACTCACGGGGAAAGGGCTGACTCACAGGTCCCCAGGGCACAAGCAGCTCGGGAGGCCTTCTGAAGAGCCGGCGCTGTGGATGAGAGTGCCTGGCAGGGCAGCTGGGCTCTGTGGCAAGACCTCTGGCGGTCCTTGGCCCCTGGGCAGGCTGCTGCGATGAGAGGCTTCTCGCAGTGCTGGCTGCAGCCTGCTGGCCCGCACCGGGGCGTCCGCGGCAAGAGGCCTCCTGCCCTGCCAGGAGCTGCTGGGCCGCGCTCTGTCCGACACACATGGCCCATGCCCGGCATGGCGTCGCGCCCGGGCTGCTCTTTTCCTCCAGAGCTGGAAGACTGCCGACAACGCTGGTGAGCCGTGGGGTGGCGCCCCTGAAGGGCTCCCCTTCGACTCTTTGCTCTGCTGGGGCAAAGATGCAAATGTGCCAGACTGGGCTCGGTCGGGACAGAAAGGGGCAGTCCCCCTCCAGCCACGTGTCTTTCCTGCAAGGCGCCATCCAGTGTGAGGGGTGTGGTTGCCTCTTGGGGGGAGCAGCGGCCATGCCTGAGGGGGCTCCCTTTGTACCCCCAACAGGTAGAGAGGAGCCCGGCTTCTGGCGCAGACCTGAAGCAGCTCTGGGCTGGCCTGGCGTCCGCCAACAGAAAGAGGTGGGTGCAGGCTAAGGCAAGGCCAGCTTTGCCAGAGGCTGGTGGGCTGTGGGAGCTTCCGAAGGGCCTCCCGCAAAGTTTGCAGGCCTTTCCCGAGAGAAGGGCTGCAGAATCGTGGGGCACCCAGCAGCCACGCCCCAGTGAGGCCCCGGCCCCGGCGTCCTTGGATGGAGCCGCTAAGCGGGAGGCTTGGGAAGGGGCGAGGCACCGTGGGCGGCCAAGAGGAGGGGGCCCGCCTCCCTCCCCGAGGCTGCCCGGGGAGCAGGGAGGCTGCGGCTGCGCTGTGAGCCGAGCCTAACCAGACCCCTCTGCTGCCTCGGAACAGCCTGGTTGACCTGCGCCCCTTCGTGTTGAACCCCGGCGGCTTCCGTCCCTCATTCCTGGGGAGTAACATCAGCCGGCTGAAGTACTCCAGCTTCCCAAGGTAGGTCCCTTCCGCGGAGAGATACCTGAGCAGGGAGAGGCATTTCGTTTGCGTGCGGAGGATGTGGTTTGGGCCACATGAAGATAATGAATGGTCAGACCTTAATTCTTGTGTTGCTGTTGTTGCATTAGATATTTTATAAATTCTGCAAATTGTGTTTACTGCCTCGCGCAGCATTTTGAATTCTTGGATCTTGCCTTACACTGTATTTTGTATACTGCACTAAGGTATTTTGGAAACCACCCTGAGAGCCTTTTATGGCCATGTGGTGGCGTAGAAATGTTATTTGGTGATGATTATGATGAATGGATGCGCTGCTCTCCCAAGGCAGCTGAGCTGGACCCTGCCATGGCCCCCCTACCGGGGGCGGTCCTTTGACCTTGCACTCTGAGCAGGGCACCAGTCGTCTTTGGTCACAATCGCCCGCGTGCCCCACGCTCAGGTTCCTTGGGAATCATATAGTAGAAAGGGGCCTCAGCGGACCCCCGAGCCGAGCTCCTCTGAGGCGCAGGCACTGCCCCACAGGTGCAGCCTCACCAACCGGGCAGCTGCCTCCCCCAAGCCTGCGCAGGTTGCTGCAGGGGCTTTCTTCCCTTGGCCAGCCAGAATCCGCTTCCCAGCAGTTTTGCCCTGTTGGTCCCAGCCATGCCTCCCAGAGCAAAAAAGAACTCCGTCTCCTGCCTTCCCCACACTTGAGGCCCCCGGTCATGTCTCCCCTCGTCTTCTCCACCAGCCAGCCAGCTCTTTCAGCTGCTCCTGGCGGCACTTGCAAGAGGGTGGCAAGGACTGGCTTTGGACAAAATGGCCTGTTATCCCAGGTGGACTTTGTGTGGGGTCTGCAGGAGGGCCGTCCTGTCATCCACACCTGACTGACATAGCCCACGGAGACCAGGTGAGCCCTGCAGCCAGGGGCGAGAGCAGCAAAAATCCCTCACCTGTGCCAGCGTGGGCAGTCCCCAGGTGTCCAAGTGGCCAGGGGGGCTGCTCTCAGGAGCGTTGGCTGCCTGAACAGCACAGAACAGACACCTCTGCCCACTGCTGCCGAGCAGCCGATGCCAGCTGCTAGCCAGGGTGGCGAGGTGCCTCTCCCTTCTGTGTCTGTGACTCTCAGGCTGCGGGCAGGGACGGGCTCCGTGGGGCTACCCCATGCCCAGAGAGAGCAGTGCTGTGCAGCAGGTGGCTCCTCCCCTCCCCTCACTGAGCCCAGATCTCCCCACTCAGGAGCAGGCCCCCAGGGCAGGTGGTGATGCCTTTGCCCTTCTGTGCTGCCGGCCACACGCTGTGCTGGGGCATGGAGAGGCTGGGCTGGGCTGCCTCCTGCTGGAGAAGGAGAAGCAGGCGCTCCTCCGTGGCGCTGCCCCTGCTCGAGTGCCTCAGGCACCCCGCCTGTCCCTGCCCTGGGTCAGGCAGGACCCCCTTGCACAGCACAAGCCCCCCTTGGCATGCGGTCATGGGCACCCGGGAGAGAAGACCTGGCGGATGGAAGGGAGCAGGGGGCGTGGGGAGCCCCCGATGAGCCCCCCGTTTGCCAGGCTCATGGTGGGAGCCTCGGGAAGCAGCCATTCCACTGCGGCTCGCTCGCCAGGCTGGGCGGCCGCAGCAGTGAGCAAGCCTGCCACCTGGCTTGGCCCTTGGGGGGCCCAGCTGTGCTCATGGGAAGGACTCTCTTGTTGCAGGAGTCCTGCCAGTGGCCCTGCTCCGTCCTCTCACAGTGCCGGCTCACCCGGCACCACGGCCGTCTTCAACACGCCTGTGCTGCCCAAGTTCAAAGGCGACAAAGATGAGGAGAAAGAGAGCGAAACTGCCGGCCCCGAGTCAAAACCTACAGGGGCCTAAATGCCGTCGTGCGTGGGAGGACGCTACTTGAATTAAAGTCCCGTGCATGCCGCTTTGTAGGGTGGGCCCAGTCCTGCACGTGAAGGCTGTCGAAGCGTGGGGCAAGCGGGAGGGGCCACCGGGGGCTGCAGGGAAAGGGGGGTGGTCCTGGCGCTTTGGCGCATCTTGCATGGGGATTCTGACGTCAGGAAGACCCCCCTGACCGACGAGCAGTCCGCCTCTGCTGGGACAGCCATCCTCCTAGGAAGCGGTGTGGGAGGAAGGGGGTCAGCTTGGACAGTCCGTGGGGTGGAAGCCGCTGCGGCCAGATCACCGGCGTGCCCAGGCTGGACACGCAGGGCACCACTCGCTTTGCAAGCAGATGGAAAGCCGACAGAGCTGCCTTCTCCAGCCTGGTGCTTTGCAGGTGCCGCTGGCCCTGCTGGCTGTGAATGATGGGAGTTGTAATCCAACACATCTGGAAGGCACCAGGTTGGGGAAGACCGGTGGAATGGCTGGGGCAGGAACTAAAACTCTGGAATGGGTGTCCTCAGGCAGGTCACGGAGTTGTGACCCCCTGGCAGGGTCACTGAGAGGACCGTGAAGTTGCCAGCCAGCCTGCCGCCCTTCCTGGCCTCCCTGCAGCCGGGAATACGGGGCAGGCATTTATGTGACTCGGCACCACAGCACTCCCCACCACGACCGACCGTGGCACGTCGCTTTGTACAAGCCGTGGGGAGAGGTCTTGCTGTTGCTCAGAGGATGGGGACCACTTTTCTCCTAGCACAGGCGCCTTGCGTCTGTCAGCCCACAGGCCGAGTTCAGTTTGGAAGCCATGCTAGGGCCAAGCACGCCGGTGGCCGCTTCGGGTTTGGGTGCAGCAAAATTAAGAAGCAGGCCAGTATAGTTTAGCTTGCATCTCTTACTGCCGACAGTGAAGTCCCAAGAGAAGCAATTCAGATGTTTAGAGTGGGAGAAAAACAGCACACAAGCTGGGAGATCATCAGCAGTCTGGGGCTGGAGGGAAGTGGGTGGGGCCAGGGGAAGGGGACTTCCAGGGAAGCCCAGGGGGACGCTGGCCTCTGGCTCTCCTTGCATAGAGAGAGGCTCGCCATCTTAGTGCTGCCCATTCCAGGATGGGTTCTTTGCCAAGTTAAAAAGACCTGGGAAAGATTCTGGCTGACCTCTGCCCTCCTGCTGGTACCTGGTGGGTGGGGGGAGCTACATACGTGGGCCGTGAGCTTGCCAGGGGGCTGTCGAATTCTACATAGGTGCCTCATTGTGTAGTTGGACTCTAAGGCTGAATGGGGGAGTCAGAGCCCTGGACTCTCCAGGGGGCTGTGGACAGGCCCCCGTGTCAGCATCTGGGACATGGGCAGCGGGCTAGTGGGTGGGAGCTCCAGGGCGCGGCACACGGGCCAGTCCAGAAGCACAGCTGAAAATAGTCCAAAGGTTGGAGACCCGAGAGGAGCCGAGGGAAGCAGGGACCTTGAGGGCTGGAGCCACTGCAGCAAGGCAGGAGCAGCTGGGGCAGAGCTGGAGTGACTGTGGCTAGGCTGGAGCAAGGCTGGAGCAATGGGCGGGGCTGGAGCAAGACCAGAGCAGTGCAGGAGCAAGGCCGGCCGACTGGAGCAAGACTGGAGTAGCACTGGAGCAGAGCTCAGGGACGGGCCAGAGCATGAAGAGCCAGAAAGCCTTTATTGTTGAGGCAGCATCTGAAGGCTCCCAGGTGCCACTCGTAGAGGCCCTGATAGCTGCAGCAGCTTGTGCACCCAATCCTGCAACCACCAGAGCTGTGATGCAGGCCGTTGGCCAGCAGAGGGAACCCGAGCTGCCTTGGGTTCTGACGCCCCCTGGCTGTGGCCGCAGTTGCAGTGTGTGACGGTGGGTGCATGTTCACCGGATGGTCCGGAGCACGTCCTCCTCTTTCCTCCCCTTGTGTGTTCCGACAAACGGTGCCCCTGCAGGAGTAAACTTGAAATGTGACTTGATTGCCTACGAATATGTAGATTTGCAATGAAGGTTTTGCCCACTTTGCCACTTTCCTTTGTGGCCAGCTTGGGGAAGGAATGACTTTCAGGCCGACGTGCGTTTTTCTGGGACGCCCAAGGCCACAGCACAAGCCCGTCAGAGGATTTTCTCCAGGAGGTATGCTTGGCCGATGAGTTGCTCCATGAGCTCCGGCAGCCAGTCCCGGAGCAACAGGGCAGGCTTGGTGCTCCAATAAGGATAGAAAACCTCCCGCTTTCGCAGCGCACCACCTCTCACGATCTCCCGGGCACAGTCTTCTTTCGGGCTTGCCTGCATGTTGATTTTGCCCCCCACAATCTTCAGAGCAGTATCTGCGGGAGAAGCGCAACCGGGATTAGCTCCCCGTGGGAGGGGTCGAGCGGGCCAGGGGCCTTGGGCGCGGCTCACCTGTGTCGATGTACCCCAAGACAGCCACGGTGACGGGCAGGTCGACTCCCCGCAGCCGCAGCTCCGTGCGCAGGCTGCTGTAGAAGCCCTCCAGGGCGAACTTGGCTGCGGCGTACGCGGTGGAGAACGGGGCAGGGATGCGGCCTGGGCAGAGAGCAAAGCACTCAGCGTGGGCGGCCGCAGAAGCCTGTGAGGGCCAGCGCGGCCAATTCGTTTCCGTACAGTAAAGGGCCACTCCCAGGAAGACTGGACTGCTGCCTCTCTTGTTTTGCTACAGGATAGAACTTCCTCTGTTACGGCCACCTGGACCCGAGTGCCTAACTAGCCTTCCTGAGCTGCAGATCCCATCATCCACAGAGGTTTCTAGCCAGTGCCTGTGGGAACAAAAGCGTGGACCCGATCCAGCGGTTCAGGTCTTACCGTTCTGCAAACAGAGGCTAAGGTAACAGAGAAGAGGAGGACAGAAATAAGAGCCGAGGGGAGCCATGCTGGGTCGCCGCGGGAGCAACCGACACTGCCCCAGTTCCACCAGCCCGGTGCCGCTGACCCGGCCCTCGGCGAGGGCTCTCCTCGTAGGCTCAGGCAGGGGCTTTCCAGCCCTGCTGGAGAGGCAGCTGGGGGCTGCACCCCGGGCCTTCTGCATGCCCCCTGAGGCTGAGCTGTGGGCCCTCTTCCGTCTTGTGAGGCCATGGACAAGATGCACCTCAGGCCTGAGAAGCGAGCGGGCGCTTGCTTGCTGGACCTTCCGTACTGCCCAATGGCCAGAAGGCTCTCTGGGTAGCCAGTTTCCAAACAGTTTCTGCTTCCGATGCTTCCCGACGAGTTAAATGTGGCAGGTTCCTACACGAAAGGCGCGATCCCACAGATCGTCCAGAAGCGAGCCCCTTGAGGCCCAGGATGACGTACATTCAGGCACCATTTGCCTGAGAGCAGAGCACAGTAGGACCGCCCTCCCCAGCCTGGTGTCCACCAAATGTTTCGGGACTACAACTTAAAAAGGCCTCCCTCTCCACTTCCTCCACACCCAGCATGCTTCAGGATGCCTCGATGTCTCCCCTCGCCAGCCTTTTCCTATGTGAAACTATCCCAGATCACAGAATCATAGAACAGTGGAGTTGGGAGGGGCCAGAAGGCCATCGAGTTCAACCCGCTGCTGTTGCAGGACACCATGTTCCACCATCCCCCTCTGTCCCAAGGGCTGTCCAGTCACTTTCTGAACATCTCCAGTGTGGGAGAGATGTATGGTTTCCTCATCAGAGTGTCGCTCCAGCCCTGGGATCATTCTTTTTGCCTTGTCTGCCCCTTACTGAAGCCCCAAAGTGCTGGTGCTAAACCCCCTTGCCTACCGCTCATAGAAGACACGACAACAATGTTCCCATGAGCCTCTCGGAGAAGGTCCATTGCCGAAATGGTCAGCTGTACATAGCTGAGGAAATTCACGGTCATAGAGCTGATCACTAACTCCATGTCTCCTTTGAAAGGCTGAAATCCTGCATTTCCTCCCACGTGGTTCAGCACGAGCATGTCAAGACCCCCTGGAAGTGCAAAGGGCACAGCGGGTTGCATCCCGGCACAGTGAAAGTGACCCCGGAGGCTCCAGTGCCCGCAGGGAGGGTCAGCTTGGCCCTGCAAACGCGTGAAGGGTGTTCCGTGGGCGCCCCCTCCCTGCGCACACTGGGACTCCCGGACTGCCACCCTGCGTGCTTACAGGCGGGGCGAGCCGCACCCAGAGCGCTTCGGCAGCTGCCCTTGTGCGAACTGAGAGCGCACAGGGCCGTGGTCTGGGGGTGCAGGGCGCTGCGCAGCTGCCTCGCCCCCTGCTGCCGGCTCCCTGCTTCTGCATGCCTTCCCTCGGGGCCTCCTGGAGCCACAGCTACCCCTCTGATGCATAGCCAGGTTGCCGCAGCTTGCGCTGGGCAGGAGGCGGCGAGGCGGGGTGGACCGGCCATCTCTGGCCGCTCCAGGGGAGCCAGGGGCCAACCTGCTCTTGGCCTTCCTGTTCTCACGTGCAGGCCTGCCTTGTTCCCACCCTGAGCCCTCCGTGCTCCGGCCGCCGAGGCTGAGCTGGCCACACGACTCGGCCGTGCCCGGCAGCGCCTCACTCCGGGGTGAGCAGGGGCCGGCCAGGCTCGGGGCGCCAGTCCAACGCTCCCCCCACACTCCGGCTTCCCCTGGACGGCCAGGCCTGCACCACCGTTTCTGCCTCGTGGGCGGGCGGCATCACTGGAAGTCTTTACCAAAGGTGGCTTTGGCTTCTCCCACAACCTTCTGGGCAGAGGTCAAGTTCTTCATGTCTGACACGACGTATGCAGCCGAGCTGGCCCCCAGCTCCAGGCACTTCTGAACCACCTGGAGGGCACAGGATGGGGGAATTGGAGGTTTAAACTGCTGTGCTCCACTTTAAGGGCTTTTCGGCAGGCAGGTGGCATTTGATGGTTAATAACAGGTAAATGAGCCTGCATCCCAGAGGGGCAGCTCCATTTTGCTGCTGCCCTGGACCGCACGTGCCTCCTGCCAGGCACCCCGCAGCCCCCGTCCTTGCCAGTCTTGCTTCAAGACCCTGTCAGCACTGACCTGGTTGCGTTCCCAGGGTCCGAGCCAAGGCACTGAGCGGCAGAGCAGTGGAGCTTGGCAGGACAGGTCCAGCCCACCCAGTTCCCCCTTCGTCTGGATTTTTCCTGCCTTTGCTTGTGCTGGAACAGAGTCCACAGACGAGGGGATCCCGGTCTTGCCAGGGCCGGTAGAAGGGGGCGGGGGGGCACCATCCACTCTGGGCACTGGGCCCCCTGCTGCCCCCAGCCAGTGCAGCAGGTGGGGCACAGGAGTCCCTGGTCCAGGACAGGAACCTGGGAAACACTGGAGAGGCTGGGTGTCCGGTTAGCCACGGGAGGTGGGCTCTGAGCGGATGGGCGGTGGCGGCCTCCCAGCTTACCTGCTGGAGTTGCTCCTCCCTCCGGGCCGTCACCATCACGTGGGCACCCATCCGCGCGAACTCGTAGGCCATCTGCTCCCCGATCCCCGTGCTCGAGCCGGTCACCAGGACACGCTTGCCTCGCACCATCTCTGGAGGGGGAAGGGGCGGTCGAGCGACTTGCTGCCTCCGTACTCCTGGCGGCCCTTATGAGCTGGGGTTCCCTCATTGGCGGGGGTGGGGGGGGGGGACAGAGCATGCCTGACTTTGGGCAGTAGGCCTGGGCTGAATCCCCACATGACCAGGAAGCTCCCCCAGATGCTCCCAGGCCGAGCGAGAAATCTGGCAGGGCTGCTGGAGTCGGCCTGGTTCCACCATGCAAGTGTTATCGATTAACCAAAGGCAAAGATTGGAGCTTGACCCGTCAGTCTGCAGTGCCAGTTTACACAGAGGGTGCGGTCCTCTGGAGAGGCAAGCGTGGCCTTCCCAAATCTGGGCCCCTCTGGACATTTAGCACTGCAGACTTCAGCCTTGCTGGCTGAGCATGAAGGGAGCTGCAGGGCAAAGCCTCCGAGGGCGCCAGGTTGGGGAAGGCCGGGCAGGGGGACAATCCTGTGCAGCAAAGCCGAGAAAGAGGGAGAAATGGGGGCGGTGGAAAATGAGCGGTGGACAGGAGGCACCGACACCCAGCGCTGCCGGCTCAGCAGGGAAATGTGCCCATGGCCTCCTCAGTAACGCCCTGCACGGCGATCTTGCCTTCTGGCGCAAAGCTGTCCCGCAAGGCCCAGATCCCCCAGGTCCCCAGCCCAACACATGCCCCGCCAGCCCACCCCACACGGTAAGGGGCCTGGAAATGCCAAACTGCAGCTACTCTGAGTTGTCTGCCCGGCTTGGCACAGTTGTCCGCTTCTTACCAGTGAGGAAATAGAGGCAAGTACTTACCATGGATCGGGAGCAGGGAAAAGCTCACTGGGCACATTGCAAGACACACTAACCCCGGCCCCACAAGTGAACCACCCACACTGCATCCAACATTCAGGCTGCCCCCATTTCCTTCATGAATGCAAACCCTTTTCTGCCAGCTGTGCTTTCCCGCCCTCCCTTCTGTCCTTCCCAGAGAGTATCTTTACAACCTCCAGGCTGATAGCCCCTCCAAAGTGCCCAGGCAGGCGCCTGTCCCTGCCTTACATCCCAACTCGGACCATCATAACCCCATTGTAAAAGGAAGCCTGAATTTTGACAGCCAACTTGCAAACGTTGCAGCTCTGCTCAAAGGGCTGGCACATGCATTTCCATCCTCCTGGTCAGCTGTTCTTGGGAACGGGTGGGAAAGACATGGGATGAGAGGAGTCGGGTGCAGGCAGAACTAATCAGAGGATCTTGCCTTGAAGGGGCTGCTCTGCCGGCACCTCACTTTAGCGCAGAATTCACTCCCGATCTGCTTTCCCTTGGCAACCCCTTTTTGACAGCTGTCAGGAGAACCAAAAGCAAAGTTCTCTTTGCAGCCTCCTTGGCTTAATGTGTAGGCGGGGCAGGCTTGCCAGGCTGCCCATTTCAGCCCCCACAACTGGACACCTGCAAAGCCCAGTGATTCTTTAAGGGAAAATGCGCTAATGGCTTCTGCTTAACACTGCTTAATAATTTCTCAAGGCTGCCACCCGGGAGAGGAGGGCTGCCTGGCTTACCTGCTGAAAAGGCCTCCTGGCTGTAGAAATAGTAAGCGCACAGGGCCGCGAGAAGCGGGCCAAGGATCCTGAGCACACCCATGGCCACCCCGGCCTGTCAGGAAGCCCAGCTGGCGCCGCTGCTCTTGTGCAGCTCGGGTAAGTGCACGACCTTCTGCCCAGGTGACAAGGAGCATGTGGCCCGCCCCCAGTCAGCCATCTGGCCCGACTGGGAGGAGGCAGCTCTCCGTGGCTCCTGCAAGCCACTCCCTGCCATTCCTAACCACACAGGCCTTTGCCTGGCAGGAACCTCCCCCGGCCCAGCCAGTCCAGCGTGCCCAGCGGGCGAGCTGCCCCTTTCCCTCCCTCCTCCTCTGCACACGAGAGCAAAATCCTCCGTGGGCCTGCCTCCCCTCGCTGCTGGACTGCAGCAGGGGAGTTGCCTTCCAGATGCACTAGCCTTCAGTATCCATCAGTCCCAGCTGGGCTGGCTGGAAATAATGGGAACTGTGGCCCAAAGGGTCTGCGGGGCACCCAGCCAGGAGCAGCTGATACTGCAAGACAAGCAAATCTGCAGTGGATTCTCTGAAGTGCAGGACAAGCCATGGCTTCGCTTCGTGTGAACGTGCAGCCCCTTCTGAGGAGGTGTGCTGAGCCCTCCAGTCGTGGCTGTGTGAACCCAGTCGGTCTGTTCCAGCGACAGTCCACGGTTGAACCTGCACTCGGCCCGAGTGAGGTCATCAATCCTTCCAAGCCCAGGCGATGTGCAAAATGTCCTCTTTGCGCTCTCTTGGCCACCGTGGGTACATCCTGGAGGTCACGAGCGACTGGGAGCAAGCCTTTCCTGAGCCTGTCCCCTCCAGAGGTCTTGGACTGGACTGTGACTCCAAGCAGGACCAATGACCAGGCTGCCGTGTCAGCTCCAAAGCATCTGGAGGGCGCCTGGTCATAGACGGCTCTTGCAACCTCCCTGACACCTTTCTTCCAAGACAAAGTGGTTTCTTCAAATGCAGCAGCATATTGAGGAGGGAAGCAGGGGGGCAGGCCCACTGTGCTGAAAAGGGGAGTGACTCTGCCAGTTCTGGGATGACTTCCAGTCTAACCAGGATGCAGCTCGACAACTTTGAGAAAAGGCTGGGATCCAACGGGCTTGGATGACGCCAAACTGCAACGGTGGGGGAAAAGTTCACGGCTGGCCAAACACATGCAGCGGGGGGGGGGGGGGGTTGCGCAAGGTGTCTGTTGACCCGGCCAGCCCGAGTCCGACCTAGTCCCGCCCTTCTGGGATCTGCAGAATGCTGCCTGCCTCTGCTTCATGCTTGCTGCTAAGAGCTGGACACACCGGCTCCTTCAGCCTCTCAGGGGATCCGTGTCCCTCATCTTGCTTGTCCTGGTTGCTCTCCCAGCTCCATTTCAGTCACTCCCGGTCTGTGCAGCGCCAGAACCCCCTTGCTTTGCCCATTAAGAAGGAACCCAAAGGAAGCGCGCTCGTTCCGTAGATGGGGCAACCACACCCTAGCCCACACAAGGCTAAATCAGCCAGCTCTCATAAATTCCACCCCGGGACAGTAAAAGAAATATAACTTATTTTATTCATTACGTTCTCTCCAACCTCACTCTAGCAGCCTTGGGTGCCTTGTGCAGATGCAAACGATGCTACTTTCCAGCTCCATGCGGAAAGTGCCCTTACCTGCACCCAACTGTGAACTCGGCGCCGAAGGCAGTCCTGCCCGAAATAAACGTCCGAAGCTATGGACAGGCCCGCGAGAATTTTCCCATTTGTATGTGTTGCAGCCCCACGCAGGGCCAGTAGTGAAAGGTGCGCACAAAATCATGCTTACACTATGATAAAAAGTAAATCCAGGAAGCACGAATTTCAGTCCAGCATTAGATACGCAGAGGCACCTGCAGAAACGAGAGCATGTGTGACCTGAAACCAAGACACGTGGCTTCTGGGGATCTTCTGATGAACAAACCGCCCACGCTGCCTCGTGCTCCAACAGCACAGCAGAAGGCGCGGAACGGCCACCAAAGGGACCTGGGAAGTTTGCACAGGACGTGAAGAGGTTCGGAGGCTGAAATCACGGGAGAGGGACACAGGTAGCTCCGCGTTTCCAGAGAAGCTGCAGCTGGTGCCTCTTGCCAGGGTGGCTGCTGAAGCAACTCTCTGAGCGGGCTGAGCATCAAAGCAGACCTGCAGGCGACAGAAGGTGCTACTCGGCTGCTCTGGTCTGGGGAGGCCCACACCCACCTGCTAAGCTGCCATTGAACCCGTATCCAGTGAGGCGACTGCTATAATCAGAAGCACAGTTGATGGCAGTGGCCAAAGAACTGAGCTTAGCACCTTTTAGATCTTTTCTAAAAGCAAGTTTCTAGCCCATGAGAGACACATGAAAGCATGTGGACAATCGCAGGATCTAAAGATTTGTCTGCACAGATTTCAAGGAGGATTCCATGCCCCACAGGAAAAGATAAATGTTCCCTGACTTTCTCTGTGGCTAGTAAAACCAGAATATTTTGGGTCACACAGGTGGCCACCGTCCATGAGCGCAGGCACATGAGGAGCCCCGCTGGGGAGCCCCAGACTGGGCCTGAGTCCAGCTGGAAGTGCTGGCTTCGGCCTGGGGCCTGGGACCCAGTATCTGGTGGAGCACCTCTTGCCCTGTGCACCTGCACATGCCCTCAGATCACCTGTGGAGACCATTCTCCACGCGCCCCCACCTTTGGAAGCCTGAAGAGCAGGTCCTGGAGGGGGAGCTCCAGGGATGCCCCACATCCCAGGTGTGGAATGCTCTCCTGTCTGTGCGTCCAGGAGCCCTTGGGGAAGGAGCTGTGCCATTCCCGGGCGGCACAAAGGATTCAGGCCCACCGGGCGCCCTCCCCTCTTGTCTGTGCAGCAGGCAGCAGCTGCACCCTTCCCGCCTGCTGGCCGGGGGCGTCTGCTGCACGGAGCTGGCTTGGCCAGCCTGGGCAGGAGGAGGGGAGCGCCAGCAGGGCTCCCACGATGCCCACCTGGGTCAGCTGAGGACGATGGAAGGCAGCAGCTCCCCACAGCGAGAGTCCACTTTCAGCGACGCAAAGGCATCCGCCCTGGTAGGGCCGATGTTGACGATGGCGACTGGCAGGTTCCCCTCACGGGCCGCAAGAGCAAACTTGTATGCCGAGTACACCTAGCGGGACACATGGGGAAGGCCCAGTGAAGAGCCGCGGAAGCACGGGGCACCCCCACGAAGCCCTGGATCCAAACGCCGTTTGGCCCAAAAGCAGGAAAAACCACGCGGCCTGGGCCACCCACAGCAGCGGAAGGAAGCACTTCCTCCGCGGTGCAGAGCCCCTGTTCGGGAGGGATCTGCTCTGCTGCGCTTGGCAGCACCAAGAGCTCCCCGGCGCCCCGAGGGTACCTGCAGTGAAGACCCTGCCACGAGGACAGAATCTGATTCGGCCAGGCGCCGGTAGACGAAGTCCACTTTCTCTCTGCGCACGGAGTCCCCAAAGAAAGTGACGTCCGGCTTGAGGGCCCCACCACATCTTTCGCAGGAGGGGACACGGAAATGGCACATCTCCTCTTCCGTCAGAAAGACGTCACCATCGGGGGCCACCCCGTGGCCCTCGGCCTGCCACGCGGGGTTCAGGGCTGTGAAGTGCTCCTGGAGTGCAGTGCGGGAGGTCTGGTCTCCACAGCTGACGCACAGGACTCTGTGGGACAACAGCCCTTTAAGTTGTAGGGCAAACTGGGCAGTCTGCGGCCCTGACAGCCTTCCCTGGTCTGGAGCACAACTCCCATCTTCCCCTTGCTGGCTGAGGATGACAGCTGTTGTTGCCGACTGCATCCGAAGGGCAGTGGGGTCAGGAAGCCAGTTCTGGTGTCCCCGTAGGCACAATCCCTTCCCAAGGGCTGCCCCATCGTGTCTACGCGTGCGCTCACACACACGCACCCCGCCGCCCCGTGACAGCTGGGCAGCTCGCTCAGGCCAGTCCTGAGCGAGCAAGGCAGGCAGGCACCCGCCTCGAGAAGCGAGAAGTGTTTGCCAGTCGCTGATCCAGTGGCGCACCCTTTCCGCCATTCCCCCGGCCCAGCCCGGCCCCCAACCTGTGGATGCTGCCGTGCAGCTCTGTCAGGCGCCGACTCCCAGCCTTGCTGTGGAGGGCGTCCACGTTCTGGGTCACCAGCCAGTGCAGCTTCCCCAGAGCCTCCCAGTCCCGCAGTGCCAGGTGCGCCGCGTTGGGCTGGCGGGAGGAGAACTGGGGCCAGCCCACGAAGTTCCGGGCCCAGTACCGCTGGCGGGCTCTGGCGCTGCGGAGGAATTCCGCGTGCTGCATGGGCCGCCTGTCCGTGCGGGCATACAGGCCCACGCCTTCGGAGCGGTAGTCCGGGATGCCGGACTCGGTGGAGACCCCGGCCCCGGTCAGCACAAAGAGCCGCTGGGAGTGCCGCACGAACTCCTGCAGCCTTCGGGCGTCCGCGGGGTCCAGGGGAGGGCTGGCCGGCACAAAGCGCAGCGCCTGCGCATCCGTCCCGGGCGACGAGGGGGAGGAGGAGGAAGAGGCAGCACGGCAGGGAGATCTGCAGGCAGCCCACCCACCCGGGGCCTTCAAGACGGAGGTGGCACGCATCTGCATTGGAAAAGAAGAGGAGAGGGAACAGCTGCTGTGGCACTGGGGCCCATCACATCCTGGAGACCGCGGGCAGCCGCTGGAATCAGAGAGAAGAAAACATGGCGAGCCAGCATGGTGATACGTCTGCTATCTTGGCCTGACCACCGACGACCTAGGAGAGCTGAGTTCGAGTCCTCACTGAGGGAGCCCATGGGCCAGGCCCTGTCTCTCTGGCTGGCCTGCCTCGCAGGGCTGCCATGAGGATGACACGAAGAGCAAGGTTAGGCGGGTTATGAACGTGATTAGCACATCTGGCCGTGTGACTCCAGGGTGGAAAGGCTTCCCCTGCCCAATTGGCGCCTGCACGAATTACAAGCAAGCAGCCCGGATTCCGGTGAGTGTTCCGCCGTCGCAGCTGCGGGCCAGTGGCAGCGCGGGCAAGTTCCACGCCCGCCCCGTCCCCGCGGCCACCCCGCTGGTGCCGCCTGCTGTGCACGTGCGGCGGCAGGAGGGTCGAAGCCGGCGCCGAGGAGACCCGCGGCCCCGCTCCTGCCGCCGCACGTGCACAGCAGGCGGCGGAGCTCCCCCGGGAGGGGCTTGTGCAGCGGCGCAAACATTTTCACGCGCGGCCCGTCGCCTCGCCCAGCGCCGGACCTAACACGCTCCCCGCGAAGGCCCCTTCCCGTGCCGCCCGTCGCACGCTCATGAGTGCGCCCCGCGCTCTTACCTCGCCCGCACTCCGGAGCGCCGGCGGCCTCGGCACGCACAGGCCACTGGGAAGTGCGGACTACAGCCCCCAGAATCCACCCGGCGCGCCCTCAGTTGCGGGCCACGCCCCCCGGAGGCCGCCCAGCGGCAGCTCCGCTCGGCCCTGCCCCTGCCGGAGCGCAGGCGCGTTGGCGGAGGCGGGCTCGGCGTCCTGTGCTCCGCGGGCGGCCTGCTTCGCCCGTTCGCGCGGGTCGCTTGCGGTTCCGAGGAGCGCGGAGGAGCCTGAGGAGCGGCGGGCGCAGCGCGGCGGTTGGATGGCCTTCCCGCGGCTCCCCCGCCGCCTTGGTCTGGCGGACGCGTGGGTGGGGCGCCGCCCCCACCAGCCTCCCAGCGCTCCCGGCTGCTGCTCGCGTCCGCCCTGCCCGCCTGCACCGCCGCGCCCGTCATCCCCGGCTGGTGTGGGTCGCAACCCAGCGCTTAGGGAGGCCCCGCACGCCTGCCCCTGCTTCCTCTCGGGGTTGCCGACTGGCGAACAGGCCGCCTGCCCCCCCCCCCCACAAATACCGAACCGAGCCTGAGAAGGAGCTAGTCGGACGATGGTCTGTGGAAGAGGCTGCCGCCCCCATCGTGCCAAAGCGCGCCCAGATTGCTCGCAGGCCCCCCTGAAAGCGAGGGGATGCGCAAGGGCCGCCCCATAGCCAGGCAACCCCGGGCGGCTGCCTCCCGAGCCCCGGGCACCCCGCAAAGGCGGGAACTGGCGCAGTTGTTGGGGGCCCCCAGCCCTGGAGCGAGCCCCCCACTCTGCCCAGCTCATTAAAGTCTGTACCTAGTGCAGAAGTGGAACAAAGAAACGTCTGAGGGCGAATATTTTGCTTTTTAGCCCCCTGTAACTTCCCTCCAGGAGAGGTGCTTTGCAGATAGACGCGGGGATTCTGAAACCACGCAATCAAGGTCCTTGGGTGGCCAGCACAAGCATGTGCCCCTAGTGCAAAACTCAGTGTTCCCAGACCAGATTTCACTGGCTTTTTCATTCTGACAGGTACTTTTGCCAGCTTGAAGAGCAAACAGTCTCAAAGGGGAACCAAGAGCCTCAAGACATGGTCAGTTTGCATCCCTTCGCCTCACAAGCCTCATTGAAACAGCATCAGTTCTGCTGGACAAGCCAAGCCCTGCCTGCACTCTAGACTCAGAGATACTGGCATTGCAAACACTTCTGCAGCCACCCACATTCCATGCAGGAAAGGCTCCAACCCAAGGGAATATTCTCCAGCGCCATTTCTGAGATACTGGCCCACCGGGACCCCGACTTCCTAATCCTGGCATTCACCAAGGGGGGCATCCAGAGCCAACCATGCAGCTGTGGACTGACTTTGTTACCTGGTGCACTGGACTTGCTCGGCAGACAGTGAATGCAAACTGCACGAGGCGTTCAAAGCTTCCACGTCTTGGAAGTCTCGAGGCGTCAGCATTCATCATAGAATCCGTGCAAAGATCCCTCCCGAAAAGGACCCAGCTCCCACAAGGACAGGCCTGAAATGTTGCCTCTCGGATCACATGACCATTGCTCAGACTCTCTGCAAAGCTGCACCAGAAGTAGAAATGAAAGCTCCAGTAATTATTCTTAAAGCCCTGCCCTGAAGAGCCTGAATTTGATCAACCAAGCAGAAGAGACCTGATCTCCATGAACCAAGAGAAGTCTGACCTGGAACGGAGTCTCTTCAGCCTGGAGAAGAGGAGACTCCGAGGGGACCTGTTGGCGACATACAGGCATGTGAGGGGGTGTCAAAGGAGGTGGGTAGAGACCTGTTCTGCCCTGCAGAGGAAGGCAGGACGTGCTCCAACGGAGCAAAGCTCAGGAAACCTAGGTTCCATTTAGATACCAGGAAGCACTTCCTGACAGTCAGGACCCCGAGGGGGTGGAATGGGCTTCCCCAGGAGGTGGGTGAGGCCCCATCGGTGAGGGTGTTCAAGGATAGGCTGGACACGCACATGGTGGGCATGTTGTGAGTGGAGCCGGCTAGAACTGGGGTCAGACTGGATGGCCTGGGAGGCCCCTTCTGACTCACTCTGTTTCTATGTTTCTAACCTAGGCACAGTAAAACAAATCAAAAGTGTCATCCTAGTCACCCTTGATTGCTTGTAGAGACAATCTTTTGCATGTTCCTCCTGACTATATTTTCTAATTTTCAAAGCAAGATGATCTTTCCAGAGCAGTTTGCTGTCAAAAATAACATCAAGACTGAAAACTGGAAACAAGATGCGTTTGATCTCCATACAGTTGCAAATTAGCATTTTAGATGTATTTGTGCCTAGGAAAAACCACACCCATGGATTCTGGAAAGGAAAAACAAACCTGCTCTTTCAGATTATGTAGAGCAGAGGTTCTCAAACTACAGCCCACGGGCTGGATCCTGCCTCATTTATCTGGCCCGCCTCAGAGCTTTTGGATTCACTTGGAGAAAACAAACTCCAAACGAGTCCAAAAGCTCTGAGCTGGCACAGATGTTCTTTGAAACTGAGCGGAGAGGCGGCGCACGCACCAAATTGTAACAGCTCAGCTGTGTGTGTGCCAGCTCTCCGCCCCTCCCCCGCATTGCATGCATATACAGAACCGGTATATGGAGTGGGAAACAGAAGAGAGGAGGGCGGAAGAGAGAGATGAAGACACTAAAAAAGGATTGAAGATAAAAATGTAACTTAAAAAATCCATTTTCTCGTATGTGAGCCATGTCCCCAGGCTGCGGGCCAAGCCGCCACCTTGCCGAGCCCAGGGGCAGTCACTCAACGGTGGCAGCGGCTTGCTCAGAGAAGGCCACGACGGAGGCGCGGGAGCAGCGGCCTTCTATGGGCAAGCCGCCGCCGCTGTCCCTCCCCTCCCCTCCCCTCGCCTTGAAAGAAGCCCTCGCCTCCCTCCTCGCGGCCTCTCCCGGACGGGGAGCCACCCCGTGCTCACCTCTCCGGCCTCCCACTGCCGCTCCTGCTCCTTCGGAACCGGGACAGCAGCGAGGAGCGTCATGTCCATCATGCCCAACCAGCATGGCCAATGGAAGTTGTAGTCCAACTCACAGGACAGTACTAGTTTTGCCAAGGTTGCACTTAAAATATGGTAGTCATCAGCTCTGCATCCAAATACAGCCATTGTGTATTGTGGGCATAGTTCTGGGCTGATTTGCTTGAAATACTAAGAGTGGCATTAACAGTATTTATCCTTAGTATTTTTGCTTCATTCTTTGTAAATGCCAGTTGCAGTCCTCAGCTGCATTATGCAAAATACTATATTCAGAGACAGTCAGAAGGGGTCTCGTGGGCCATCTAGTCTGTCCCCCGGCTCCAGCCAGCTCCGTTTATGACATGTCCACCATGTGCATGTCTCGCCTATCTCTGAACACCCTCACTGGTGGGGCCTCACCCTGTAATGAGGAGCCCAAAACTGAGCACAATACTCCAGTTGTGGGCGCACCAGAGTCGTATAGAGTGGCAGTAATACCCCTCTTGATCTAGAAGCCACACTTCTGGCTATGCAACCAAGGGTGGCGTTCGCCCTCTTGACCACCGCGTCACACGGCTGACTCATGTTCGGCCTGCAGTCGACCAGCACCCCGAGGTCCCTCTCACAAGTGCTGCTCTCCAGCCACTTGTCCCCTAACCTGCACTTACATTTAGTGCCTTGGTTGTGTTGTAGCTCTGTCCCTTGAATATGGACATGCTCTTCCCCGTCTCATCTTGCGCTTCTGCTGCAGCTCGAGGGAGTGGAGTAAACATTTTTTTAAATTTTAACTAATTTTTAATGTGCAGTGTGCATAGAAATTAGTTCATTTTTTGCAAACTATAGTTCCCTCCCAACACTCTGAGGGACAGTGAACTGGCCCCCTGTTTAAAAAGTATGGGGACCCCTGTCAGAGGCTCTTTATAGTTCTGCTAAATCCCTTGCCCAAACTCATTTTCCCCTTCAGTTACAACTAATACTGCCCTCCCACACAATCCAAAGCTTGAAACACATCCAAGGAGAGCGTTGCTATTTCCGGTTTCTCCGCAGCTGCCGTGTATTTGATCTTCAGCGCTCCTCGGGTCGCATCTGCCATCGGTTGGGCTGGCATCAAGCCATCCTGATCTGCCTGGGCATACGAGTAATTCACTAGGAAGCTGGTCAATCTTTGAGGCAAAACGGAAGAGGATGAATTTGTAATGGAATTGGTCTGTTAACTAAGGAAAGGGTAAGGTCTTTCCCTTGCTTCGGTGTAACTTTTCTTCTAAGTAATCTGCAAGATTCTGGTATTTTCCTCCACCCAATATTGCGTTATATATTTTGACAAGTGTATGGATACAACCTCTTCCCAAATTTTGTAATAATGAAAGCTAGTAATTTACCCCCCTTTTAGTGTCAGAATAGCTGTTCTGATTTCCACTACTGTTACTGGAGAGTTAAGCTGTTGTTCATGCTCTTCAGGAATTGGTATTATTGGTAATACATCCACAAATTCTTTCATATATCTTTCTCAATTAATTCTGTTTTGTAGAACTCCTCCTAATAGCAGCTCCTGTTTCAGTACCTCCTGGCTGCATATGTTTTCATGTGTCTGCTGCTTCCAACTCTGATTCGGTCCCCGTAAGTTGCAGAGAGGTTTTCTTCCAGCCCATTTTCTTCTGTTCTTCTGTGAGTCTCTTTCTTTGAACTTCAAGCCATTCCGGGCCTCTGTTTCTCTCGTTTTAATCTTGCTCCCTCCACTGTAAAATACCCTCTGCAGGTGGCTTGTTGAGTATCCCCTAAAAGGGCAGGATCTATTTGCTCTTTCTCCTGAGTCTCATAAAACACATAATTTCTCTTCTAATTCTTTGAACAGTTTGGGGGTTTGTAAGTGTATGTGGAGATGCAGGTGGAGCAGTGGTTTAAACCACTGTGCTGCTGGGCTGGTTGATCGAACGGTTGCCGGTTCGAATCTGCACAACAGGGTGAGATCCCGTTGCTCCCACGGTTCACCGGGGGCCCAGTGCTGCGCCCTTAAGCACTCCACCGCTCTGGCACTGAGGTTTGGCAGGTGAGCAGAATACCCCTATCTTAAAATACCACCCAACCAAATCAATGATAAGGGTACCACAAGCATACAGAGTTTTGTATTTCTCTTTAAATGAATAAGAAGGCAATTGGTTCTATGAGAAATGAATCAACATTTATTTTACTGTATCAAAAAATATAGCATTTCATTCTTGCGTGCAGTCTTCAGCCGACCTGGCTGCCAGAACGGATCCACACACTTCAGCCAGACCTCGGGCCAGAGTTGGGATTCCGTGCGACGCCGCCGTCCCCGCAGGGCTGGGCTTCCCCTTTCCATGTTGCCGCTGCCTCCGCTGCGGGTGCTTTCCGGCCGGCCAGTGGGGCTGACGGAATTCGCCAGGGCATCCCATGGAGAGCTTGTCCTCAGTGGCGTCTCGCCTTCCACTCTTCGTTCACCTTCCCGGATTTCGCTCAGGATCAGCACTGGCAACAATTGCCAAGCCTTCTCTTCCGCAGGTGAGCTCAGCTTGTGAGAGGGCTGGATTGCAGGCTCAGCACCAGCAGTGGCAACTATTCCCAAGCCTTCTCATTCACAGGTGAGCTCAGCTCCTGGGAGGGCTGGACCCTCTGAAGGATGGCTGCAGTCTGAGCTTGGCCTCAGAAAGTCCTGGCTTTTATCGGGTCGGATGATGACCTGCGAGGACCGGCAGCTCTGTGATGGCGCTGGGAGCTGGAGGGAGCCGGCCTGCTCGCATTATGACGCCACGCTCCTAACCCTCCCCACCCCCCCGGGCCAACTGGGGGATGCCAGGCCAAACCCTTTGATTGACCACATATGCCCATGGTCATGACTGCTTGGTGCCCAGGGCATTTGCAGGAAAACCTCTGTGGCTCCAAGCCTGCTTCCATGTGCTCACATTTGCTTCGGTCCAAGCTTCTATTCTGGGCATGATTGACATTTTTACTGTGGTTTTAAGCTTCCATGTTGCACTCCATCTATTTAACCTTATGGCTTTCATTGCTGTGAACCATCTCAGGAGCTTTTGGGGGAATACGTAGAAACCCAATGCACAGAGAGTCATGGAAAACTAAAGTCTCCTTCTCTTCCACCTGAGCTCAGGCAAAGGCAGGCTGAGGCCTGAATTGAAAAACTCGTCCACAGCTTCTGAAACGTGCGCCATCCATAGGATCCTCCCCAGTTGGGAGAAAGGGCCGGTGGCGTCTCAGGAGGGGGTTTTCACAGTGAAGGTGCAGCTCCTGCAAGAGGGATAATGGCAGCTACGGAAGCAAAGCTCAGGAGGGACCAGTGTGACTTTCAAGCACAAGCACAGCCACAGCCAAGTTGTGCTTTAGAAAATGGAAGGACTACTAGAAGCCCAGAGACAGCAGCCTCACTCTTCCAAACATGCCTAGGAGCCCCCATGAACCTTCTTGTTGCATCGTTTCCATTTTTTAAAAAATTGACAATCCTTAACAATAACAAAAACATACAGTCATCGTACAGCATGTACATTTTCTATATAACAATAACTATTTACATGTCCATTCCAAGTGTATTCCACAAATTGAAAGTCACAAATATATATATATATATAAAAACTTACTAAGCAGCAGACCAATATACTATAGGGTTTTCTACTTATTTATCTCAACCTTTGATTGCATATGCAAGGTCAGTGAGGGGTGCCAAGGTTTAATGAAATTAGCCATTTTCATTTCCCCTCTCAGGATTCCGTCTAGTCAATTTCTCCACTAGTGCACTTTCCTGTTCCCTTCCTAAGTATCTTGGAGAGGAGACGCCCTTAACATCTTTCCAGGTTTGCCCAATTTCTAATCTCGCTGCTCCCGTAAGGATCTCACCCACTCTTTATTATTTAAATTCTCATTCCCGTCCACAAAGAGGGAGAATAATAGGAGAGTTTGATGACCAATCTTGTTTTGATGCATTAGCTTTTCTAATCATTTAATTGCCTCTTTCCAGAATAATTCCACTTTGCACAAGATATCCACATATGCTCAAGCAAGCCTTTTACCCCACAGTTTTGCCAGCACGTGCTCTTCCCCATCTCATCATGGGTTTCTGCTGCAGCCTGAGGGAGCGGAGCAAACATTTTTTAATTTTTTAAATTATTTTTTAAATTTTAATCATTTTAAAGAATATTTTAATTTTAATTAATTCTAATGTGCAGTGTGCATAGGAATTCATATTTTTTTCAAACTATAGTCCAGTCCCGCAACAGTTTGAAAGACAGTGAAGTGGCCCCATGTTTAAAAAGTTCGAGGACCCCTGATGCAGAGCCATATGAAGTTGTAACTCAGAACTCTGAGACGGGCTTTGATCCTGCGAGGCGAGATTGTTTGCACACGAACAGCAACCCCACTGGGCTTAGCAGGGGGAACCTTCACCTTGACGTTAAAAATTCTCTAGGAAGCCGTCTCCACCCGACAGGCATCGGACAGAACGAGCCCACTCAAGCCTGAAGTTCACAACCGTGCCAGACAATCACGCAGCCACAGAAAATTCTGTCCGTCAAACTTGTAAGCCAAACCAGACCACATCGTAAACCTTCCAGTATCTAGAACAGCTACCAAACAGAAAGCTCTTCCCCACCTTCGTTTCCACGCAAGCATGCGATTGGTCATGGGCCACCTGGCGCACCGGGGATGGAAGGGAACGCCTGACTGCGTGCACCACCCTGGCAAGGCCCTGCCAGAGACCCGGGGAGAAGGCTCCCAGTGCCGCAGCTGCAGCGCATTGAGCGGCTGTTCCCTCTTTCCCTCCTCATTGGACATTTTTTGATACAAGATGGAAGAAATGGTGGGAGAACACGAGCGCATTACAAATCAAAGAGGACGGCACCTGGAGCCACCCCGAAAAATCCCGACAATGTGGTTGCGCGCGGGCACCCTCAGCAGAAAGCCCAGCGCTGTGCACGGCAGCGGTGCTTCCCCCCCGCCACCGTCCCACTGACACGTGGCCCCCGGGAGGGTCTCCCAGCCACAGATCAGGGCAGCAGACTCTTCTAATCCTGCATGTTCTGGTAATTCCTGGAAGCATGCCAAAGAAGTCACCTACATGGCTGGATTTATGCAAAACAAGAAAAGGCAGAGTATACGTGCATATCTAAAAGCAGATATGCAAGAAAAGATGCATATCTAAAAGCAGAATTAAGAACAAATAATGAAGCCTCTAGAGGATTATTAATTACAAGGTCTAATAGTAATATGGTCAGGATTTTATTCTTACATTTCATTTACATTCCAGCTTTTTCCCTTTTGTAAGGAATCCAGAATGGCTTACGGGGCTCTCCTCGTCTCCATTTTATTTTCACAAGAGCCCTGTGAGGTAGGCTAGGTGGAGAGCCTGTGAATGGTCCAAAGTCACCTCGTGAGCTTCATGACCAAGTGGGTCCAGACCGCAGCTCTCCTAGTCCAGCGCTCCCTCCTGCACTGCCTCTCAGTACTGCAGACAGTGATATTCACAACCAGCCTGGTTCCCAAAAGTGAAAGAGCAAAGCCAAAAGTTTTCGACGTGAAAGATCAAACCGAATCTATGCCAAGGTCTTAAAAGCTCGAGTTGCTGCAGAGCTGCAGATTTTGGGCGACAAGGCCTGGGCGGGTGGTGGTGCCTGTGTTGCATGCTGCCTTTGGACTGGCGGCTCCTGCGTGGCGTGGGGCTGAGGTGGCCAGCGCCTGGGCTCCCCCCTTGCCAGCCCTGCCACTCTGCCCTGGCAGCCTTCTGGGCATCCTTTCCCGGGACCCAGCAGGATCAGCCTCCGCATGCACACCCTGCGAGTGATGCCTGAACCGGCCTTGGGCACGCATGTGCAGAGGCGTGCTTTGGGCGCTGTCCTTGACACACCAGGAACCGAGCTGCTCTGAGCACAGTGGGATTTACATCCAGGTCAACCGGCACGGGGTGAAGCTGGGCAGCTTGCACATCAGAAAAGAGCCCCTTTCAGACCTGCTTGGGGAAAAGTTGATATACGTAAATGCTTTCAAAGTATTGTTTGTGTGTGATTCTGTAGAAAGGGATTGTACCTGGCATTTCTGTGCTCGAGGAGTGCCTGAGGATCCCAGCGCCATAAGGAAGCCCTGCGCTCAACTAACTGGCCGTGCTTTTCACTTTCTTTGTTGGGATGCTCTAAATCAGCTTTCCCAGCACGCTCACTTGGGGATGCTAGACACTGCAGTCCCTCACACTGGATGGGGCCTGGTTGGGGAAGGCTCCTTGACATCTACTACTTCGTATGACAAGAATGAGGAAAAGACTTGTTAAAGGGAGAAAAATGGAAGGGCAGACTGTGTCAGTGCAGGGGGCAGATAATAGCTGGTGCAGCCCACCCCCTGTTCAGATTGGGACCACCGGGAGGGGGGCGGACACCTTGATGCATGCCAATTTGGGGTCATTCTCTGCATCAAAACAGTCCTCTCTGGCTGGTGAAGCCATGTTGTGTGAACGTGGGGGCAACAGGTTATGCCAGGGTTAAACAACCTGTGCATAAGCCTGGAACAGAGCGTGCATAACACTCAAACGGGCCACCGTCCCCAGGTTTGCACGACCGCAGTCTGTGGCCAGGCACTGAACACGCCACATGGCCAGGCGCGCGCACGGCGCAGCCCACCGTGGCTCGGCTGCTGAGGGTGGGTTGGGCAAAGCAGCCAAGCGCCTGAGAACCTCCTAGCCTGCCCTGCTATTGGCAGCCGTGGGCACGTGCCGATTGGCTGGTGTTCCACAGGCCTCCGCGATGCATGCCAAAAGGCTGCTCAAGGCCCAGCGCTCGGGTTTTGCAAGTCCGCTTCTGGAGGGGGCCGTAGCCCAGTGGGCAGTGCCCCACCCTTGATCCCTGCGGCGCCTCCCATAGGGCTGGAAAGGAATGCACCTGCACTGCCTGGGGTCCGTGCTGGCTCGGCACAGCAAGGCTAGCTTCTGCCTTCTTGAAGTCCACACTGCTTTCCATCCCATCCAGCGCTGCAACACTTGGTGGCTTTTCTTCGGAAACCATCCTCCTTTCCAGAACAGTGGTGCAGATTTAGCATGTTCATCAGAGAAGACTCGGCAGCACTTCTGAGTTTTGTTTAACTCATTGAGAAATCACACATGCAACTTTAGGCACTGATGGGGTGGCCATGTGCCCTGCTTTAGAGAGGACAATCCTCTGTTTAAGTGTCTGTCCAGTCCAGGCCTGGTTTAGAGATAAGATGGGAAAACAGTGGAAGTGCAGCTCACCTCATGCCAGGCTCCCTTCTTTTGGCAAGATTCAACTTTAACCATTGCACTTATTTTTAAATGTCCATCTATACATATTAATTAGCATGCACACTCTGCAAACTGGTCTCCTGCTGTGATGGGGAAATGGTGAGCTCTGGTCTATTTTGAGGAAAATCAACCCAGGTGCCCTAAAAGCTGGGTATTATGGCAGAAGACCCCCACGGATTTCATTCCCGTTTATGGGTGGCACAAAGTGCCCTGCAGTCGAAAAAGCTTTTGCCGGAAACAGATTCGTTAGCCTTTCAAGTGCCGCTGCAGCAGATTAGCATTACCACCCTCCTGGAGCTTGCTTTGGTGGGATCCAGCACAGCTAATGCGCTCTGGAGCGCGACTGCCCAGGCAGCGAGAAGCCCGTGGCTGCGCCCAGTGGGCTTGGCCGCAGTCCCTCCTGCGGCGGCGAAGCAGGTAAGCAGAGAAAGGTCGTCGGTTCAGTGCCTTGGAGCAAAGCGCCCGTCTGTGTCTTTGCCTCGGCCGCCAGGTGCGCCGAGGCAACCTGGCTTCTCGCTCTCGGGCTCTTGACGTTTTTCGCGGAGTCGCGGCGTGAAGTCCGGCGACTGCGGATGCGCACCGGGCACGCGGGCGGGCTGCCGCGCCGGAAGGGAGGCAGGAAGCCCTGGAGAAGTCTCGCCAAGTTTGGGCAGCGCTGCGCGCGGTTGACGAAGAGCCGACCCGACTGCTGGCTTCAGGCGCCTCGGAGGGCAGACCGAGCCACACGGCCGCCCCCCACCCTGCATGTGATGCCAGCTGGTCCCGGGAGAGCTGCCGGTTGCCCGACGAGCCCCTGATGTTGTGCTTTCATGCCGCATTGCTCTCCCTGCACAGGTAAGGATTTCCTCCAGCTGGAGATGCCGGAGGCAGGCGGAGAAGGGACCGAGGGAGGTGACCGGGCGCCGGCGTGTTCTCCCTTCGCTCCCAACCGGGAGTCGGGGCGCTGGAGCAGGGTCCGTCTGCAGCTGCGGAACAGTCCCTCGTGGGAACGCTGCTGGGAAGGAAGGAAATCCGGGCGTCTCGGCGATTGCAGCTCGGAGAAGCTGCAGTGCTTTTCTCCGGCTGGGCCCCGGATCGCTGCTCTCCGGCTCGGGAGTGACGGCGGCAGCGCGGACAGGCCCGCATCGGAGCTGCCCCCCTTCCGCCGCCGCCGCCGCCGCTTTGCCTGCGCACGGACCCCCTGCTCGGCGCTTCGGGCTGCGCCTGGGCATCAGCAGGAGGGGCAGCTGCGTCGCCTGACGTGGGTGACGGAGCCCCCATGCTGGAATCGTGCCCGGAGAGCTGGAGCGGGGCGGAAGGTCGAGGGAGAAGCGTGATTAAGGGCGGCCTCGTTCGAAGGGGCCGGGGGGGCATGCGCCGACCCGCAGGCATAGCCTAATTTTTGACAAGCGCCGAGCGCCCCCTTCGATCTCAGAGATGCCCGAGGGGGATGCCGGGGATGTGACTGGGCGCCAAGGAGGCTCCCACGGATCGGTTGCTTAATGCCTGCTCCGGAAAGCGCCTCTTCCCCCGCTTCACACTCGGGAATCTGCGCTTGCATTGCCAAAGGTACGTGTGACGTTTCCGTGCGCAGAAGTAACTCGGGCTGAGTGGATGTGGCAGCTTGGTACTTTCACTGCCTTTGTGAGCACCGAGAGAAGCCAGGTGAGCGCCCTTGCGAACTGGCAGGCACCGCTGGCGCCCGCTCCTTGTTTCTGTCCCAGGCTGGTCGGAAGGGAAGCCTGTAGCTTAGCAAGCTAAAAGACGCGGGGGTCCCCATGGCGGCAAAGGCGCCTGCCGGAGGGGCTCCCTGCTAGTAGAGGCCAGAGCATCTCTGACTGACTTGGGAGTCGATCCTGGCAAATGGGCCTATTTTCCAGAACGGGGAGGGGGAAATAGCCGGCCTCCTCCCAGGCTAATGCTGCGTGGGAGCCCCTGTTGTGGTGCTGATGCATCGGAAACCTCCTGGGGCCTGGCAGACCCTTAGCCTTTGCCAGAGCCTTCCAACACTGTCCTCACACCCCTGAAGGTGGGGGGAGCGCTGGAGGTGTTTCTGTTGCACCGGCTCATGCGACTGCCGCTGCACATGAAGCCCCTAAATGAGCATTTGCACCAGGACATCGTTGGGTATTCTCCCTAATTGTCAGCTGTGCTGGCAGGGGCTCCTGGGAGTTGTAGTCCAAACCTCTGGAGACCTACCTTCTGCATGGCACTGCCTTAAGGCACCATCCCCCAACTTGGTGCGTGCCATACTGCAGCTGCCCTTGGACCAAGCCAACATGGAATCTGGGAATGATGGGAGTTGTAGTACAACTCATTGGAAGGGCACCAGCTGGGGAGAGCTACAAAGTGTAAGAGGGAACTGGCTGAGCTGCTGCGACCCGCGGTCTCGCAGGGCACAGCTCGCAGTGACAGTTGAACCCGGCGAGTGATGTGGGGGTCGTTGAAGCAGCGAACGAAGCATCCACGATCCATGGCCTATTTGCCGTGTTCGATGCCCCTTTGAGCCACGCACCTGGGCAAGCTGGCTGCACGTGACCAGCAGCTGTGGGGCTCATTAAGCCCCTCGTCCTGATGAACCAGCCCACCGAGTGTGCTCGTGCAGAAGGCACACCGTTGCACAGGCACGGGATCCACCATCTCCATTCACGCTGCTGTCAAGGATCTCACAGTTTTCAGCCATGGGGCCAGTTCGTTGTCGGCCCTCTGCCGTGGGCTGGGCCCCCTCTGTCTCTCTGGCTTCCTGAGCTGAACGGCTGCACTTCAGAGAGTGGCTGAAGGAACCAAGAGCAGAAGCCGAGAGTCGTCTGGAAAGGAAGTGGCCAGAAGACTGGCACGGCGTGAATGGCGTGCCGACAGTGCGGCCCCGCCTGGCTTGGTGGGCATGGCCTTCTTCCAGGGAATGCCGGGAATGGCAGTTGAAAGGGCTGACCGGCACTCTTGCCCGCGACTGTCTGGTTTCTGGA